AAGCATCTCTCTTGTCTCTCAGTTAGATATATTACATTAAAATGTAATGTTTATTTTGTTTACAGCCAGATGGTAAGATTCCTTTGCCGTTAGAACCCATAAAGTCGAACCAGGTTGAAGACAGACGCTTATGGGTGGGCAATTTAGATTTAAGAATTAATGAGTAAGTATTTACATGATTGTAATATTTTTTTTTGTGTGAGGAAAGCTCTCGCAATGTCTTTCCCGGCATGTTTAATGCATGGAAAGTGCTTTGCACTGGAACAAAAATTTGAAAAGAAAAACTAACACTCCTTTTGTCAACCGGTACAAACTCCTGAAACTTGTCCAAAAATACGGCACAATCGAAAAGTTCGACCTGTTGTTCCATCGGTCGGGTCCTCAAGCTGGCCAGCCAAGGGGATATGCATTTGTTACTTACGAAACGATCCAAGATGCCAGAAAGGCGAAAGATGCTTTGCATAACTTGACAGTAGGATCTAAGAATATTATTGTCAGATGGGCACACAGTGTTACCGAGGTACGGTATATTTATATCTATTATACTTATAATTGCCTAAATAGAAATCTTAAATTTAAAGTTATTTCAGTTGGTTATAACACGATGCACTTATACGTATTTCACGAAGTGCACAAAACTTTTCTAACTGTTATTAATAGATATTTAATCTTGAATAACTCTGCAAAAGAGCAAGCGTATAAAAAGTAAAATAATAAATTGTTGTTTAGTCGGACATGGACAAGCCAAAACCAAAGATAGATATTCCTGCCTTAGCTGGTGCAAAAAAGGAAGATAAAAAGATAAGGTAATAATTTTGTAGCTTTCTTAAATAACAATTAGAAATGAGAAGGGTATTTAATTGAAATCTGTAATTTCTTTTCTTCACAGTCGTGAAACAGCAATTCAAGCGATTGAAGCAAAACTGAAGTTGATGAAAGAATCGCAAGAGGAGTTCGAGTTGAATAAACCATTGGAAGGGTCGCCGATTATACATCTCTATCAAAAAGCAGAGAATCAAAAACCGTCCACCTCTACGCGTTATCACAGCCGTGGAAGCTACCATCATAACAAGCCGTACAGTCGTCACAAGCCAAGAAGATAATTCGCATATTTTTCATATATTTTTTTTATTATTGACTCATTATTATTAACTCTCATTAGCCCATTTTCCTTTTTTACTCGTTAGTTTTTTATTTTATTTTTATCAACTAATCAATCATCACATTTGTTTCATGATGAATATTTATATTGTTTATAATGACATGCCTACATTTAATACCGTTTATTAAAAAGGTAGTTTGTCCTCGTGTATAAAAAAAAAAGTTTCTTATATATTTTCGTGTTCGTATTAAATGTCCGTGAGCAATTCGATTTCTCAATTGCAGACAGACAAACGTGCCGATTCCTACAAGCGAAGAGATATGAGAAACATAGAGCTACGAATATTTCAAATCGTCCGCGACATAATGCTCTCAAAACGTATGTTAACATACGTGTATTTTCGTAATATATAGAGATCTTTTTTTACGCATTACATGCTTTGGAGTAAGATGCAAAATGAACAAGTTACTTCCATCGTTCATACTTTTGGATATAACAAGAATGTATACACCTTACACACATGTATGTACATGTAATTATACAAATACAATATATGTAACAAGAATTCGTAACAACTACAGTTTCGTCTACTTGTTCTGTAATCTCTCCATTATGATTTTTCCACGCATGTGATATGGCAAGGGCACTATGCCAGGGCATGGCACTTGTCCCGGGATGTGACATATACAGCTTCTGTCGCAGCCCACTCCGAAATTTGCTGGATTGTCCTTTTTCTCCTGAGTCGCGGCTTCCTTGACCAACGTCTCCTTCGACTTTCCTATTATTCTTATGAGATGCTCGAGTATCTCGTCCTTGGACTTGCTGTCTACGTCTATCAGCATCTTCTTACCGTCCTCTACAAAATACACATTTTGGGTACAATTTTCCAGGTAACCAAGTCTAAGTCCAAAACAGATTTTGTCAGCAAAATGCCACACGCAGCAAAAACATAACTAATATATATTAAATAAATCTTGCTTGAGATTGTAATCAAGTTGAAAAACGATTACCGTAGTAGCATTTTATGAACGGCGACGGGGTTAGGTTCCTAAAGGTAACCATCTGAACATCTGGATTCTTGTACTGCAGCTGCGGTAGATGCCAAAACACGAAATCTCTGCGAGAAAGGAAAAAGGAAAAAGCACGTTAAAATACGAAAGCAGGCGATCCGCGTTAAGCCGTGTCTCACGGCACTTTACCTCGTCCCTTTGTGATGGTTGCCGTGTATATTGTAATTAATGGACAATATTTGTATCTTATCCTTCAGGATCAGTTTGCCGGCCATTAGATACTTGACCGTCCGCCGCACGGGCTCCTTGCCTATCATAAACGGCATCCTGCACGATCCTGTCTGCTTCTGACCGTTTGTTTACTGCCGTCGCTTAGTTGACACGATTTTAGTACGGCGAGCCAACCTCCTTCCTCTCGCTAACCGGCTTGAAAGCGCGAGCGTGTGCACGTGCGTGGATTTTTCTCCCTCTCTCCCTTCCCTTTCGATCCACTACAGTGCACTAAGGCCTTCGTCAGCGAAGCCGCGTGGGTCAGCTGTGTTGCCTGAACTTCCGTATTTCACCCGACGGTAAGTCCTGCAGGTCTGTCCTTTTCTGCCGTTCGTCCAAATCTCGGTCAAAGATCGCAGAATATAATTATGTAAAGAGAATTGCGTATTTCGTTTGGTTCGATATTATTTCGTGGGTCACCTGCTTGTCTTCTGATGCAACCTGAGGCCATATGGCAAATTTACGCTGCAAAATGCTTCACGATGTATCGCGGTAATTTTACAGAACTTGCGCAACCCTAGGATACCACGATGAAGAGCAGCATGAACGCGAAGCAGATACGGCAGGCCTATATCGACTTCTTCAAGAGCAAGGGTCACGAATATGTCCACTCGAGCTCGACGATACCCCACGACGATCCGACCTTGCTCTTCACGAATGCCGGAATGAATCAGGTATGTCCTGTGATAATTCTCACGTTAAATTCATTTTCCAGCACTTCGTTGACTTGCTTTTCTTATTGTTGTGCAAATGTGTTTCAGTTTAAACCGATATTCTTGGGAACAGTTGATCCCAACAGTGATATGGCGAGATGGGTGCGCGTTGTTAACAGCCAGAAGTGTATTCGAGCTGGTGGAAAGCACAACGATCTGGACGACGTTGGTAAAGATGTTTATCATCATACTTTCTTCGAGATGATGGGAAACTGGTCCTTCGGCGATTACTTCAAGGTAACATCGCTGGATCGATTAATTGTTGGCGGAATCGATGATTATCTCAAATTTCTCTACTTTAAGATTTATATCTTTTTTTTTATTATTAGAAAGAGATATGCGCCTGGGCCTGGGAATTTTTGACAGATGTGATGAAACTACCGGTTGACAGATTGTATGTGACATACTTTGGTGGGGATGATAAGAGTGGATTGGCGCCGGACAACGAGTGCAAGGATCTGTGGCTTTCTCTTGGGTAAATAAGACATAATAAAACTACTTAATCACTTTATAATATAATTATTCCGAATACTTGTTTACATTAATAATTTTACGAACATTACTTTTCATTTGTTACATGTAATCTCATTCCTTTATAATTCTATCACAATATTATTTTCTTTGCTAATATGTTTTATCCATACTTCTATATTCCCTGTTTTAAGACTTTAAAGTAAGATGTAAATGTACAGAGTACCTGCCTCGCACGTTTTGCCGGGCAACATGAAGGATAACTTTTGGGAAATGGGCGAAACTGGGCCGTGCGGACCATGCAGTGAATTACATTACGATCGTATTGGTGGTAGAGAGGCAGCTCACCTTGTAAACATGGATGATCCCGATGTGCTAGAAATCTGGAATCTCGTATTCATTCAATATAATAGGTATTCAAAATTTGTAGACTGCTAAAAGATTCGCTGTTCGAAATCTCATGTATAATATTAATTTGTGTTATGATTCCAGAGAATCAGACGGCAGTCTTAAACCGTTACCAAAAAAGCATATAGACTGCGGCTTAGGTTTAGAACGACTAGTATCAGTGATTCAAAATAAACGCGCTAATTACGATACTGATCTATTCATGCCTTTGTTCGCCGCGATTGAGAAAAGTACAGGCGCTCCACCCTATCAAGGCAAAGTAGGAGCTGACGATGTTAACGGAATCGATATGGCGTATAGAGTTTTGGCTGATCACGCTCGAACTATCACAATTGCTTTGGCGGATGGAGGAATGCCTGATAACACTGGTAGAGGGTAAGTTACTTTAAACTTTATTCTGCCTTTGTGCTTTTTTATGTAATTACATTTATTTATCTAAATATAATTGTTTTTACCTTTTTACATAGATACGTGCTAAGAAGAATTTTACGGCGTGCCGTACGCTACGCAACTGAGAAATTAAATGCTAAGCCAGGATTCTTTGGATCTCTCGTAAACGTAGTGGTGGATCTTCTCGGTAAATATCTTTCGTAATAAAAGAAGCCATTGTATCTCTTACTACTTGCACTTTGTCTGAAGTCAGTTTGCCGTTGCAGGTGAAGTTTTTCCAGAAGTAAAGAAAGATCCACAAAGTATTGTTGACGTCATCAACGAGGAAGAGGCTCAATTTTTGAAAACTCTATCGCGGGGTCGTAACTTGCTGAATAGGACGATAGCAAAGCTGGAATCGGCTAACACTGTGCCAGGTGATGTCGCGTGGCGCTTATACGATACTTACGGTTTCCCGATAGATCTCACTCAGCTAATGACCGAGGAGAAAGGATTGAAAATTGACATGGCAGGCTATGAAGAATCTAAGAAACAAGCGCAGGTATCATATTTCGCTGTGCAACAATTAATCTATTAATTTAATGCCACACAAATATGCTTTTCTATGCATTAATATTATTCATTCTTTCCTCAATTCTACAGTTAATTTCTCAAAATAAAGCCGGTGGTGTAGACGATCAAATTAATTTGGATGTCCATGCCATTACTGAACTGCAAAAGCAAGGCGTTAAACCTACAGACGATTCTCCTAAATATAATTACAAAGTAACAAACTCTGTTAAATATGAGGAATATGAATTTGCACCCTGCACTGGTACCGTAATCGCATTAAGACGCGCCAAGACTTTTGTCGACCAAGTATCTTCTGGCGAAGAAGTTGGAATTTTACTGGACAGGACGAACTTTTACGCGGAGCAAGGAGGACAGATATACGATGAGGGATTTTTAGTGAAAGTCGATGATGAGGTATGACAATTAATTTTTATTTTAACTTCGTGCAATGAAAAGCAAGATTCTTAATAGTGCTTCAATAGGCTACAGAGATTCGCGTGAAGAACGTTCAAGTCAGAGCCGGTTATGTGTTACACATTGGTACCGTGGGCGAAGGCACATTAAGAAAGGGAGATAAAGTCCACGCGAATGTGGATACAGAACGTAGACGGCTTGTGATGGCTAATCATAGTGCCACGCACGCCCTGAATTATGCGCTTAGGAAGGTCTTGGGAACGGAAGCCGATCAGAAAGGATCATTGGTTGCACCTGATAGGCTTCGCTTTGACTTTACGAACAAAGGTACATTCTCAAGTTAAAATCGAGTTGTAAATTGCATGCTTACCGTTAAATCTTCACAACAGGACCAATGACGGGAGGACAATTGAAAGACACGGAATCATTTACCAACGACATGATCCAAGCAAACAAGAAAATTTACGCTAAGGAAAGCAACTTGGCTATAGCAAAAACTATTCAGGGTTTGCGTGCGATGTTTGAAGAGACGTATCCTGATCCGGTACGTGTTGTTAGTATGGGCATACCGGTTGAGAATCTAGAAAAGGATCCCTTGAGTACAGCTGCTCTTGAAACCAGCGTGGAATTTTGTGGGGGAACGTGAGTGCTGTCTGAATAAAATTTGCGCACGCATTTTCTAGTAGCGCTCGTATTTCTAAGTTCACAATTTGTTCCATAGGCACTTACATTACACTGGTCACATAGGTGATTTTGTAATAGCCAGTGAAGATGCTATCGCTAAAGGTATCAGACGCATAGTAGCGCTCACTGGACCGGAAGCGACAAAAGCATTAAGAACGGCAAGGATCTTGGAAAAACAGTTATCTCAGCTTCAGGCAACGATAGAAACTGATAAGTCTGGAACGAACTCTAAGGAATATGTGAAAAAGATAATAGAACTAACGGAGGAGATATCCCATGCTCTCATTCCTGCATGGTGGAAGGTAATTACATTTAATAAAATATTATTTCATCTGATAAATTGTGAAAATAATTTTGTCTTTTTGTCTAATAGGATAACGTGCGCAACACGTTGAAAGAATTAAAGAAGTCTCTCGACGATAAAGAACGGGCAGTTAGGGCAGCTGTCACCACCACGGTTGTACAAACTGCTCAGTCTATAATAGAGTCTAAAGTGGGATGCCAAGTGTTAGTCGAGGTGCTGGAAGCCTACAATAATACGAAAGCTCTAGATTTGGCATTGAAGAAAATCAGAGCTATATCGCCAGAAACTAGTGCCTTGCTTATAAGCGTCGATCATGATGTCAAGAAGATATTCGCTCTCAGTTCTGTTCCCAAAGTAAGAACGTTTAGTCTCGAGCATCGCGAGTAAAAGTAAAAACAAATCATATTGATATCGAGAACTTGTTCACAGTCCGCGATATCCAAAGGGCTAAAGGCAAATGAATGGATTCAGGCAATTGCGTCTTTGATGCAAGGTAAAGGAGGTGGAAAACCCGAATCTGCGCAAGCTTCGGGCACAAATATAGCATGTTTGAAAAAAATAGTAAGCAAAGCCAATGACTTTGCCAACCAAAAGCTTGGGATTATAGGTAAGTTCAGAAACACTGTTGTTTGATACTATAATTTTTTACTGTAGAATTATGTTAGCTTAGTTAATGGGTTTGGAATTGGAGTAGTAATTTTTCTATCAGATATTAATTTAGTAGTTTATTAATTTGTCTAGATCAATAACCATAGTTGTCAGCAATTATATCTGCTTTCAGACAATAAAACTGCTAATAATACTACTCGTAAGACCTCCGAAACTTTTCGATTACTTAACACGGAATCTTCGTCAAAATTGGTACTTTACGGGAACACTGGGAGCACTAAATGCTATTTAGCACAAATAATCGCACAATACAGCGGCAAATGTTTGACTATTAAGCAAGTTAAAGATAACAAAATATGTTCTAGCGACATAATTTTAGAAACAGCAGATGTTACGTTACACAATAGCAATGCCATTGCGTTCTTTTTGTCAAATTCGCAGCTACGGTGTGAAGACGATTTGTTCGCATCCAGTCAAGTTTTGCAATGGATGAGTTACGCGCAAAACCACATTTTACCAGCGGTTAGTGGTTGGGTAGTACCGTCACTTGGCGTTTCTGTATCGAAAGATATGAAAGCAAATATGAAAATTTCTAAGGAAGATCTTCTTTGCACTGTGAGAAGGCTGGATGATATACTACGTACGAGGACGTACCTGATAGGAGAAAGGGTCACTCTTGCGGATATATCAGTTTTTACAGCGTTGCTGCCTTTGTACGAATATGTGTTTGATCCGCATTATAGAAAGCAATATACGAATTTAAACAGGTGGTTTTCGACCATCCTGAATCAACCGCAAGTAAAATGTGTAGTAAAGAATTTTGCATTTTGCGAAGAAGCTACGCGCTGTTGACGCTTGCGATAAGGACTCTCATTTTTATACACGTCTTTAACAGATTTATTATATAAGAATTACATCGAAAGTTCAGTGTTTTCTTCTGCGTTAACTTTAAGATTATCGTACAATATTCTAATCTCCTTTAATAAAGTGGAAATATTGGTTCCTACCTTGGCAGAGATAGGAATTATTGGTAAATCTACATGTTCTCTGAGTAACTGTAAATTAATCTGAAATAAAAATTACAGCCATTATTATAACTGTTCAATAATTATCGTGCTACCATTATCATTTAAATTAAATTCATGAGACGTAAGTATATTAAACGTAAGTGATAATCAAATTAGAGAATTCAGAGAAAGAATTTTAATTGCTCACCTCAGAATTTGGTAAATCGATTTTGTTTGCTACAATAATTTGAGGCCTGTCATTCAATCTTTCATTAAACTGGCTAATTTCGTGCTTTAAAGTTTCCAGAACTTGCCACGGTTCAGTCTGTGCTACGTCTAAAATAAATATTAAAGCAGCGCAACGTTCCACGTGCTTAAGGAAAGTTATGCCAAGCCCTCTATTCTTATGCGAATCTTCTATGAGACCGGGCATGTCGGCCACTAAAATAAATAAGTAGATTACAAAGATAATGAAATACGTAAAAAAAAGCTCATGGTACTTCTATGCTGTGCTATATAAACGTATAATTACCTGCAACTTGTTCATAATCATCGTACTGTATTATGCCTATATGAGGTTTTAACGTAGTAAAAGGATATGCCGCTACTTTTGGCCTGGCCCTGGATATCGCTCTTAAAAGTGTACTTTTACCAGCATTTGGCAGACCAATCTTAGTATTTTGATGAGAGAACATGGAACAAACATATATTTCGTTCTTAAATATTTAACATAATTTTACATAAAAATAATCGTAAAATATTTGTATAAGTAAATATTCTTGGAAATTAGTGACAAAACACCTTTTTCAAATGCTGATAATACACACTCACCAATCCAATATGGGCCATACTTCTTACTTCTAGCACATATTGCAAATTTTCCCCAATTGCGCCGTATTCGCATATTTCAGGCGTCTGTTGACTATTCGATTTGAAAAAGGCATTTCCATGCCCGCCAGAACCACCTCTCGCGGCAATAAACATCATTCCGTTTTTCTCTAGGTCGGCTAGTATCCTACCGTCTACATCGCGCACGATTGTGCCAATGGGCACATTTATCACTTTGTGTTCTGCATTTTTACCGAAGCAATCCTTGGTATAGCCTTTTTCTCCATCCTCAGCTTTGATCACGGAATCTATATGCCTGAGATCCTTCACATCCGTGGTTGCCTACATGATAAAACTATGCATTTGTACTCTGTACAAACCGGTCAATATACTACATAAATATATTTAGCATAAATGACATCATCTCGACCTTGTATTTTATCTGTCATATTTCATGCGATTTACTTTAGTCGTAATAATCTTACTTGGAATATCACATGACCACCGTGCCCGCCGTCACCGCCATCAGGACCAGCTCGATCATTGACCCACAATCGCATGAACGATATCTGCCCGTCACCACCTTGTCCTCCGATTGTTTTTACCTAACGAAAAACGATCACGCGTTCACAGACCGGTAATATCTCACGAAACAACGTTCCTTACCGGTTTTATATCGACAAAATATTGCAGAGTGTCTTTCTTCGATTTCGGTTTTGTACTGCGTAAAGGTTTAGCTGTAGGTTCCCTTTCATGAACGTATGCAGTAACAGACAACGATCTAAGCCCGCTTGAAACTTCGCACCTGATTCTGTTCAATACGGTTTTACGGCCCTGCTTTTGACTTAAACCGCATGCGACGATACTTCTTAAGCAACGAAGACGATGCATCTGAAAGCGATCAGAAAAGGTGTAAACCTCATACCTTACGTAATATCAATTAAATAAATATATATATGTACCATTTCAATAAAGCCTTTTATTAATTTTTTTAATAGTTACGCAAAATGGTTCGTGCTATGCGTTCAAACTATCTCGAGACGGTGACTTCAAATTCATCTTCTACAAAATTCGCGATTACATTTTGATGCAATTCAACAACCCTTTTCCTATACAATGGGACATAATTTGATTTGTAATCTATCCTATATGTTCTCTTTATCTTTCCATCGACAGGAGACGAATAACAATCAATCAAATCTATATTCTCAATAATAGATCCCGCATAATTATATAGCGACTTGTAAAATTCAGCTGTATTGAAGTCCCCATCCGTAGACAAAGTTAAGTCAAATGTAAAAATACATGGATAAATACACTTGAGTTCGCAATCCGATTTATCTTGGATGTTGTTTATCATGTCTTTCCACGTAATATTATCTACAGTGCATTTAGAAGTGTTTATCTTATTTCTAGGTACGATATTATGCGCCATGGGTGGTTCACTCTTTATGAAAAAATGTGTCAACGAGCCCGCCGTGTGAAATTGCTTATCTAAACCGCGATAGCCGGTCACAACATAGTCCCGAAAAGACTGCCACAAAGAGGGTGCTACTCTCGTTAATATAAAATTCCCATGTGCAGCCATTTCAACGATTTTCCAGGAATCGTCCCAACGTCTCCTAGGCTTGTCCATAGGCGTTCCACCTTGGCCGTTGCATAGAGTCACTAACACCTGGCCGTTTTCCTTCATCATTCTTACAGACGACACAAAAAAGCCTCTCAGCAAGTCCCTATTTCTCTCTATTCTCATTTTACCACCGACGTGTGGAAAGTTAAAAATAATCTTGTCGAACAGTCGCGACTTTAACGAGGGACATTCCTCCAATTTTGTAGCGTCCACGTCGAACAGTACGCAGATACCTGAAAAGAAAAGCATAGGTTTCTCCCTTCACAATTGATTGGATAATTACCGCATTGCAAATGATACGTATATAGATTAGTACTGCACATCTATACTGACCATTCTCCCGAAGATAATCTACATTTCTTTCTGCAGCCTCTTGACACGCGCTAGATTCATAACACGTAGCAACGAGCTCTATGTTGAAATTTTGTCGCGATAACGCTGCAGAGAATGAAAAGTTGCCCTCCCCTACTAGCAGTACAGAGTCATTTTTACTAAAAATCATCGACATCGTTAGCCTCGTTGCTGAAAGTAATCAAGCCGTATACGAGGCGTATATTAGACAAATGCTTTTCTTTCCAGGTTCAAATAATTTATCCAAAATTCAATTATATGTAGGTTAGGTATCAACATTACAGGTTAGGAAAACAGATTAGATAATTTTTCGTAACTCCGCAATTGAAATTCAGCACGCTTGACTAACCTTCTATTTTAATATTATCCTCTCGCATCAAAATGCATAACCAGTCTTAGCAAATGTATCTTCGCGCTTTACTTTGCTTTATTTGTTTATAAAAAAAAATGTGAGTTGACTGTCAACAGTCACACGTGAACGGTCATAAGTCAGGTTAGGTCCACTATTCCGGAATACCTCGCGCTATAATGCTCGATAATGCCTGCGTGAATTTACAAGTAATAATACTCGACATTTTGCGTAAACATTGAGGTAAAAAATAATCTTTCGATCGTTCCTTCGACGGGTGGTGCAAAGCTACTTTTGATAGCACGAGGAATATGCTGAAAACAGAACGAGGCGAACGAGCGTGATCGGTTGATGCACGTGTTCAGAATAAAATGTTATTTTATATAATTATTGGAACATAATTAATATTTTTCTGACGTTCAAGGTAATTGTTCAAGGTAATGTTTTACATATAATTATCTTATAGTATATATCTATTATTTTATATATATTTAATAAATATATAACAGATAAATTCTTAAACGACAGGTGAGAAAAGGACAAAGGGGGATAACGATTTTGTGAATGACTGCGTATGAAACGAAATATATATAACGATTTTCAAAAAGGGCCTCAGGAATATACATAAAAATGTTTGCCAGCGGTAGAATCGTGTTTAGCTGCACGAATATTGTGACAAGATACCACGTATGGGCACTGATAAGTAATCTACGTAAAGCAAACGTAAGTTTCTAAGGGTTTTGAAGCAATTCCCGTGACTATTTTGATACTGCAACCCTAAAGTCAATGATCTTCTATATTCAGGTGAAATTGTAAAACGTATGAATTTTTTTTTCAGTTTCTGCTGAAGGATCGATCTGCAATTTCAGCAGCTTGTGTTCACAATTTAGTTGTTGGCAGGTCAGCACCGTTGACAAAGGAGCCTGTTTCACCGGCCAATAGATACGTCCTGAGAACGCATACGTGTGGCGAGCTGACGCTCAAAAATGTTGGAGAAGAAGTGAGATTAAGCGGCTGGAAGGAATTTCAGAGAATGAGGAAGTTTATAACGTTAAGAGACTCCTATGGATCAACGCAGTTACTTATACCGGAAGATGTATGCGAGCAGTCATTATATACTGAAATCTTTGGTAAATGTGTTGTGAAAAAACGTTGAAAAGCTTTTATTGATTTCAGAGAAAGGATTTGGTGGAAAGTATACAGAACTTGTCTTTCGAAAGTGTCTTGAGCGTAGTAGGCAAAGTCGTGCCGAGACCTGAAGGTCAGCAGAATAAGAGAATGAAAACGGGCGATATAGAAGTGTACGTAGAGTCTCTGGAGATTCTAAACGTAGCATCGGAGAATCCGCCAGTATTCATTAGAGAGTATAACAAAGCCAAGGAGAGTCAGCAAATGAAATACAGATATCTGTCACTGAGATATCCTGAGCTGCAAAGGAATTTAAGATTGCGATCCTCTCTCATAATGAAGATGAGAGAATTTCTGATCAACGAGTGCAGTTTTGTGGACATTGAAACGCCAACGCTGTTTAAAAGTACACCGGGGGTATGCTTCTCAGTGTCTAGTTTACCATATAAATCCATATATCGTAAACGTGCAAAATCTGATTTTATCATATTCAGGGTGCGCAAGAATTTGTAGTGCCCACGAGACAACCGGGTAATTTTTACTCGCTGGTACAGAGTCCTCAACAATTCAAGCAGCTTCTCATGGTAGGTGGCCTCGACAGATACTTCCAAGTCGCCCGATGTTACAGAGACGAGAGTGCCAGGCACGACAGACAGCCAGAATTTACACAGGTAATCACACTGCGTTCATAATGTCAGTAATATTATATTTTATTATCAGCTACATAATTATATATCATCAGTGTTATATCAATTATATTATAGCTAGATATCGAAATGTCGTTTGTTGACCGGGACGGAGTGATGAGCTTAATTGAAAATTTATTGATGTACACATGGCCAGAAGAATCAGGCTCCATAAAAGTGCCTTTCAAGCTTATGAGGTATGAAGACTCGATGGAATTGTATGGTACTGACCAACCGGACTTAAGAATACCGTATCAAGTAAGAGAATTAATGTGTACGATCTTTTTTATTATTTTACTCCACGAAATAAAAACATAATATTATTTCGATGCAAAACTGCTTTCCAGATACAAGATCTCACACACATGTTCGATCTGCCAGTATTAAAAGAGGCTGTGAAATCTGAAAATAATGAACAAAAAGTATACGCATTAGTTTTTCCAAAAAAATCGGTAGGTGTTCATTTTAATTTGATTTGTATTCCATTGTTAAGTTAATTTTTATATTCCAGAAGTACTTAGCAAAATCTATCAGAGAAGGACTCTCTAAGATCCGTAGCGATTATTTTGCTACTACAAAGCTAGTTCAATTAAGAATCGAAAACGATTCGTGGAGAGCACAGTTAGACAAGCTAAAACCGAAGTCGGGAACTATAACGGAAGATATATCGCAGTACTGCAAGTTACAGGAGGGAGATGCAGCATTGCTAGCAATTGGACATCGAATGGATGCAGTGAGTATAAAGTCTGAAAGTTCTCTTTTTCTCTTTTAATGATAAACTTTTCTCTTCATCTGTAATTATAATAAACTACTATATATATTCTAGTTGAAACTCTTAGGAAAGTTACGTGTCGAATTTACAAATATATTAGAAGCCAAAGGCGAACAAGTACGTTCGACCGAAACTGAGCTTCTATGGGTCACGGACTTTCCGTTATTCACATTTGAAGGAACATTACAATCGACGCATCATCCATTTACGCAACCGCATCCAGATGACATGGAATATCTTACAACTGATCCTCTAAAGGTCAGCAAAGGACTTGAGTAGATTAATTAATTTTGTCGTGTCTTTTTTATATATCACTCTTTCGTAGGTGAGAGGCTTACACTACGATCTGGTTATGAATGGATCGGAAATAGCGGGAGGTTCCATTCGAATCCACGATGCAAATTTACAGAGACAAATATTGAGGATGTTAAACATAGACGAAACAAAATTGTCGCACATGCTCGAGGCATTGACGTACGGAGCTCCACCCCATGGTGGAATAGCTATAGGTATTACTCTTTCGCGTAATAAAGTTGCATCTGCGAATTGAAATGGGAGATGTGATCGTTATTTCTATTTCAAGGACTGGATCGTCTCGTTTGCTTACTTTGTAACGAAAAAAGTATAAGGAACGTTATAGCTTTCCCGAAAACGATGGAAGGACGAGATCTAATGTCCGGAGCACCAGACATCATTTCAGACGAGTTGAAGACTTTGTATCACATACAAACAGTAAACAAATAAGATTCCTTTTTTCACAATAAGTGTAATAGAAAAGTTGTTATTACTTACAAGTTGTGCGTGTAAAAAAATGTATATAATTATTTATATTAGCTGTGGCAGTTTTGAGACGTTATCTGTAATATTTTTGCCAAGTTATCATTCAAGCTCTGAGCAGTTATCAGAAGCGTATAATTGCGCCGCAAACCGAAATAAATAAAAAGGCGAAAAATAGATGTACAAAAAAAGTGTTTTATTTTTTTGTTGTTGAGTAAACTCTCGTGCGTTCAATCGAAATGTTTTTACAGAAAAATAAAAAATACAATTCAGCCTGCGTACTAAACTATTCACAATCATTTCCAAGAAGGATCTAAGAGGATTCCCTTTTCTTTTTTTGTACACTTCTCGAGAGCCTCTCTCCTGTCAAGTGAAAATTTCAACCTAACAAATTTCTTAACAAATATGTTGATATGTTGTGACTACCAACTGCCGGCGGACGAAAATTTACATCGCTTTTTTATTCATATACATATCCATCTTGAAACAGCCCACACAGTGTGAATTGGAACGATTATATATTAATTAACAAAACTTCATTAATGGCGATGAAATATCTGTTCAGTTTGCGATGCGTCAAAATCGTTAAAAAGACCCATTAATTAAGATAGGTATCTATTCGATCAATCTTTCAATTTTAAACACAGAAAATGGTGCTGTACATCCGTAGATTAATTTCACGTCTACTAGTCTCTTGGAACAATCTTGAAGACATTTCGAAGACGAGCGTCACACATTTTCCTCATGCCCGTTACACATATGCCACTGTTTACAACTGAATACCGAATCGGGTTAAGTGATTCTCATAATTTCAGCAAATCCCGTAGATCAAATCCAGCTAGTCAGGATGCAACAAGAGAAGCGCTGTGTTCTTCGATTTGGCGTATGCTTTCAGCGGACGAAGACACATTATATACCGTTTGTTACGCAGATTTGAATCGCTCCAATTACAATGCGACGCGTCTATATTGTCATACGTTCCTACTCTAAAACGCATGCAGCTTATAGCAATCGGCACGAAGCCCTGCCCGGTACCGATCGCGCGACGAAATTCCCCGAGGGTCAAGGATCAACAGCGAGCGTGAGCCTTCGTATTCTCGTTCTGTCCACTTGGCTGTCAAAAGCAATTCGCACGAAGACTTGACGTAAGAACTTGGAAGAATCCGCCGTCGAGTATCTTCCGTTACAATGTATCCTTCTTGTGAACGCAAGGCGAGTTGCATCAAGGTGAGAACCATCACATTTAACATCTTTCTTGCGAAACGCACTTAACTTAAGCTAGATAGCTTTCTCCTAGGTTTTAAGTCTCGCTTGCTTCGCTTGTATATATATATCTTAGATTAAATCTGAACTCTAAATCTCTATGTTAAATGACCGTATGAACCAACGAACATGATCGGAGAGGGACGTAATCACGTTTACAGTTCTACTAAGCCCGCTAATGAACACCATCCTGTACGACGGTATTACATGTCTCGCTCTCGATACCTCGTCCTCGCACCGTACTCGCTCGTGAAGACCCTCACGAATTTATTCCGTAGAAAAATCGTCAATATAACGGTGATGTGTATAAGAACAGTACAGAGTTGATTTGGATGGACACGGGATGTTCCACGATTCTTCATGTACAACATGAGCTTTCCTCGTAATCCTGTACGAGAGACACGTGTGCTTACATTCCTAGCCGATTAATTTTTTTTTATAATAAAAGAACGTTCGAACGAGACAATAAATTCGATCAATGGAGTCGTCTACCTTCATCTCCGTACGTGAAAGTCCTAATCGCCGCGGTAATGTATTTATATATTACAATCTGTTGTGCGCGCGTCCACTTTTTGCCTAAGAACACAGTGTTTCGTGTCGTCGCACGTTTTTTCGTTCGCAGATTTCGTCGCTTTCGGGCGCGAGTTGATTCGCCGATCGAGTAGGGCTTCGGACCGGCGGTTTAATCTATACGCTTAACGTAGCGGTAGTAATAATAGCAGCGGTATAGTTGTAATAATAGTACAGTCGATACGTACGGTTTTAAGGGCTTTCAAAATTCTCGACGTCGAACGAGATTGAAGGCGCGGGCCCGTGGTCGGGCGCTCGCTCGGTTGGCTGGCAGTATGTACGTGTGTCAAATTGCGTATTTAATCTAAATACGTGGATCGTTTTTTCGTAATATTCGAGGCGATTCGATCGACCCTCAACCCTTTCGCCGCGCAGTGTCCATGTATATAAAATCGCAAGAAGGTAATAAAAGAAGTAACGCAGAATCCAATTCTGAGGTAATATTCAATCAGTGTCTCACGCTCGTTGAAGATTAATTAATAATAATTAAATAATTATTAATCGCGTGTTGTGACTACATGACATAACTGCAAATTATAATTTCAATGAGGCCTTAATGTGCATCGTAACGTTAACTCAGGCAAATGCGTTGCCGAACGCACGCAACGCGTGTTTTAAATTATAAATGCAATAAATATTTATATAATCTGAAGCGTCTCTCTTGGACGCGCGCTCATATATTTTACAGAAGATTAAAAACGTAACCAGGTGATGCTATTCATAAGAGAAATTGATTCTGCATTGACGATGCTCAGCGTGAACGATCTCGGAGAGGGGGTGCTTGAACACGTCGGTCGAAACTGTGCAGCTGAAGGGTCGAGGTCTCTGTATTCCTCTGCAATTAGTTCTTTTTCCTCCCATTGCGTAAGCGCACGCGAGATTCGTCCCGCGCGAGCTCGCAGGTCTCGCCCTATCAATACGAATTCTCTCGCGCACACCGCGTCGCCGTTATAAAAAATACTATTTTACAGCGCAGGAGGCAAGCTCTCGCCCATGCAAATCGCACGCTCACACAGACGGAATCTCGCATTGGATACAAACGTATAATAAATCACTCGTAATCAATCACAGCACAATCGTTCGCTCGGTACACGCATACACGCACGCATGCATACGGCTATCGAATAAAATATTTGACCACACGCTCTTGCACGAAATATATGTTAGACGGAGACGCCTAGAAAATTCTACAGGAAATAATGGATACTACCGTATATACATACACGAAAGGACAGAGACAGGAGCGGTGGGCGATCGAATAGATCGAACAGTCGTCGAGTTCGGATCACTATAGCGCTTCCCGCATAAGTGCGGAAAGCGGGATTGAGATTTGCAAGAGAGAGAAAGAAAGAGAGACAGAGATAGAGAGAATGAGAGAGAGAGAGAGAGAGAGAGAGAGAGAACGGAAGAATCGGACATTCGTACAGTTACAACGTGAAACTCGCCGCCGCGTGGCTCCATGCGATCGTAGCATCTGCAACGCGGAATGGCGAAGTTTTTTTTTTCTATCTCTCTGTTTCTCTGGTTTTCTTTTTAACAAGAAAACAAGGATGTGCGACGATGCTTGCCTATTCGTTCGCGCCGCGTTATTCGTTTCGCGGAGGCGGAATACAGCTCGGACGTAATCTCTCAGTCGTTTCCTGGCTAGTAAGCTTTTATGCATGCACATGTCACGCGTACACGCATAAATAAGATCTTGTTCACCGAGAGACGACTGTGAGAGCTACCTGTGCCGCGTATAAACGCCAAGAACTATTACCGGATGAATCCGGTGAGACACAATTACGTCTAAAAAAAAGGAGGAAAGAGGCAAAGGAAAAAAACGCGTTTTCTACAAATGTCGAACGTGTTTCTTACCCGGCCCGCCGGTTCCACGCGTGTAGATCCACGGTAAACGTGAATGTTCCCGACAATTACGCACGCATATCTTCTCAGTGAATATCATGCACATCTCGCGCGGAGGACTTGATCTATTCGTAGATTTGCGATAAGTCTCCTTTTCCTCCTTCCTTTTCTCCCCTATTTTTTCTTTACCTTTATCGCCGATGAGATACAAACTGACTTCTTGTCGCGCGCAATAAATATGTTCGGTCGTTTTATCGTTTTCGCGCCAACGCGCGTCCAGTGCGCCTTCCGGTATATCCTCGATCTACGTATGAGAACTGGGCATGGCCGCATACAGGAACAAGGAAGATCTCGGAGTCGACATTGAACGTCCTTCTACGAAGGTCTTTTCGCGTTTTACGGGCTTTAAAAAGTGATATTTCTACGAACCACATACGCTAGTTACGTCCGTGTGGTTTTAAGTTTTCGTTCTCGTAATTACAAGATAATACGCGCGTTATCTCGCATTACTTAGTACTACGTATGTTGAAAGTTAAATCGGTGGTGAGATAAGAATTGAAGGCTGATGACTAAACCTAAGATTACGGCCAATTATTTACGTCGCACGGACAAAGTTATCAGTGTCGAATACAAAACTAATATCACAAAGAAAATTAAATATTTTATCCTTTATTTTGCGCGATGATTCCCCTGCGGTTTCGATCAGTCTAAAAAAAACATCCTATATACGGCCATGCGAATTAAATGGTATTACAATCAGATTTACAATGCTTAAGGGGGCTGCCTGTTGAAACGTCGATGGAATCTGAATGACTATTCGGAGATCGCTCGCACGTGCCTTTTTTAATTAAATTAACATCCTAATGTCGTAATCTGAGGCAACGTGCGTGATCGGTTATCAAAAATGTAAGGCGTTAGACGCGTAACAACAATATACGGTGCAATTGCACCGTCGTACTAGTGAGCCAGGAATGAATCGCAGATACCGATCCGATTTCGTCGGTGCAACATCTCCTTATGATGCATTCAATCGCACGAGACTGTATACAAGGACGCCGTGCCCGAATACGCGAATCTTGTCCCTCTAGCTGTTCGAAAAGTTTCCTACGTTTAGCCCACGCGCACAAGATTCTCGAAGACGATATCGCTTCCAGACAGAGCATCGTTCTACATCGTAGGCGTTTCGCAAACAACTAGCGCGACGAAATTCGTTCTACGGTAATTTTCTCGAACACAATCGGACAAGACGGTCGACTGCCCGGGAACGGACAAAATCTAAAAGATGTTGCCTCTTCCTGCATATGACAGACTTCATTCCACGTATCGTTAAACGATTGCATATAGATACGCAAGAAGAGGCTATGTATACGAGACACACATTCGAAACGTTTATAAGACATGGATCTTCCTATATTGGTAGAATGAAGACAATGACGTCGATGACGACAGCGATGGAAAGTTGTATTCCACATGGACCTTCTCGAAACGCGAACGAGCGAGCAATGATCGAACTGTTGCGAGTTCCCTCGTGGCATCTTGTTTGCTCCCTTGGATACGTTTCAGAACTGGTATGCCATACGACAGCTATTCCAGTTTTGTACACATAATGTAAATGCAATGTAAATGTATTTGCTCAAACAAGTTATAAACGTTTTCTGATTAGTTGGTATTCTCAGCTGTCTGCCTCTCTTCCTTGTTTCTCTCTTTCTTCCCTTCTTTTTTATGAACTGTAGACTCTGGCATTGCTCCGTATTTTTCATAAATTAGTTTTATGCATTGTCATCGATAGTGGGTAGCCAGAAAGCCATGTTGGTGCAAGCCGACGCCAGCATCATGTACTTGGGATTGAATTGGATACACTGCACCGGCGCTGGATGGTCACCGTTCAACACGCAAACTTTGTAACCGGTCTCCGCGTTCCACACGTGCACCCTACCATCCGTGGAGCCACTGAACACAAATTGGGAATCCGGACTAAAACTGGCCTCAATGGCGATCCCCTTGTTGTTGAGATATCCGGCGAAAGTCTGTAAGGGCGTACCATGAAAAGCATCAATTAAACGAATCGTACTACCGTTAGTGGAGATCAAGATGGTCTTGCCGTCCCTACTGAACTTCAATCCAGTCCAATCGCACTCCTTCTCCTGAGAGAGCTTGAAGGTGACAAACGGTCCCTTGTCGAAGCTGCGCAGATCGTACAGCTTGATATTTTCCGAATTGACTCCGGCCGCGAAGATGAGACCTTCAGGATCGTATGCCGCCACTGGCCGTCCCGAGACGTTCATCACCCCGTGACAATTCGGCGAGCGCAGGTCCCACAGTCGCAGGGATTTATCTAAGGAACCGGATAGGAAAGTATCCTCGATAGGACTGATACATAGCGACACTACCTTTTTCGCATGACCGGGAAAGTAACGTATGTACTTGTTGTCGTGGAGGCTGAGATAGCGGATCGTGTCGTCGACCTTGGTGCTGCTGTGTATCGCGGTGTTCTTGGCGTGAGTGAAGTGTATCAGGTCGACGCCGTACTTCTTCGAGTTGACCGTCCGCACCTGCGTGCCCTTCTCGCAGTCGTAGATGACGATCTGGTCGTCCTCCGAGCAGGAGATGAGGGTGTCGCCGTTCGGCGAGAAGTCGATACTGTTTATCCGATCGGTGTTTTCGCGGAATACCTTGGCCACCTTGAAGCTCCTCACCACATGGTCGACGAGCTTCATGGTGATGGACGGCGCGTCCTCCCGCTCGTGCCGTCCTCTTAACCTCCTCGACTCCACAATCTCTGTGTTTGTACTGTGACCGGGTGCGAAGACCGCCGGGCGCGGGGGCCGGGCGCGGGTCACGGACGTGGACGCGGATGCGGCCGCGGCCGCCAAGTTGCCTTCTTGCGAGGAAGGAGGAGGGACGAGACAGCTCGCGCGCGTCACCGCGGGCAGATCGCCGTGGGAGCTCGGGGGTGGCCGCCAACACGGTCCAGGCGGTGGAGGGACGGGGGTAGGAGAGGGAGGACAGGCGGGGAGAGACGGGCCGTCCACCGGGACGCGGGCGAGGATTCCCCCTCGCGCCGTCGTTATCGCCCGCGGAATCGCTCACCAGCGCTCTCGCGCGTTTATCCCCGCGCGGCAGATACCTCTCCTCGAGTCCTCTCCGCCGACGTGGCTCTCCTTCCCGTGTGAAACGGACGCCGTCAGCGGGACCGCCGATCGCAACACCGCGCCGATGGATCAACAACTGCCAAGCGCGCTCGGACAAATGGACGGCGAAACGTCGTCTCCTCCTGCGAGCTGTTGTACTCTGTACTGCTCTGTACTGTACCTCGACACCTCTCGAACCCTCGAACCTCGACCCGTGTCCCGTGAGCGCGACAGCGTATCCCTCGGCTCCGTGCCCCCGATCGGTAGCGGCGAATTCGGCAGGCAACTAGACAAGCGGCACCGAGCACCGACACACCGACGACTCTCTTCTCTTTCAGCAAAGGCGTGAAGGCCGCTGCGCATGGGGCCACCCGTGACCGAGTGCAAAAGCGCACTGCGAGATTGACTCTGCGATAAGGACACCTCGACCGATAAATTACCCGGCGCCGGGCTAACCGCGCCCGCGGAACTACGAAGTCGTAAAACCACGTTCCTGGTCAGTCGATCACGCTGCGTCGATAATGTCGATCGCTATCGCCTATTGTGCAAGGGGCTATAGACAAGAGACAGCTTCTCGTCCACGTCCATCTGTGTTTACGTTTCTTCTGCGTAACAGGGAGATCGTCGAGGTCGAGGTGAGGTCGGTGAGGATACGCATCGATGGGAGTTTCATTCCACGATGAGCGGCATCAGGAAAAAAGCCAATCACCTGGCGGTGTTTAAACGGCGCACCAAGGACGAGGACAATGACGAATTGTCGAGGAGCGTTATTCTAGGGGCGAGAAAGACTGGGCGGTTGAATCTCTCGTCGAAGGGATTGTCCACGGGTATATATTTACGAGCATCCACCTGTGTATAATAAGTCATGAGCTCGACGATGGAACAATCGACTGTACTATTTATACGAATCCGACTTACGTTTACGTTCATGTGCCGCACAATTATCTGGAGCATGTTCCAGTTTTTCGTTTAGAATGTTTAGATCATACTCGGAGAGCTTGTACTCATAATTAGACAGACGTGCATGCCTGCGGTAATAGCGTACATCGAAGTATATTCATGTTATACGTTAAACGTTTATAGTTTCATCAATATACACAAATCTCAAGTTCGATATGCAGATCTTTCGTCACTTTGTTGCCTGTTAATCATCGCTTGGATGTTGCAATAAGTATTCAATAAGTGTTTATTGTTAGATTTTATTGTACTCGATATGATGCGCACGTGCATTGTGAACAAGGGTCATGTAAAGTTCTTTGATGTATGAAATATCAAGATGTAAGTTTTTTAAAGAGTTTAAGATCCCAAAGAATGTTCTTTGGGATGTATGAAATATCAAGATGTAAGTTTTTTAAAGAGTTTAAGTCCCAAAGAATCTTACACAGCACAACATAGAATCTTGTATACATTGTGAATGAGAATGCAAAGAAGTGAGATGCGCATAGTATTTCTCTGTTATCCGTCATGTTTTTTTTCTTTGAATGTATAGAATATCAAAACTCGTATTTTAATATATTATTATTAGTTTAGACGATAATTGGTGTATTAAATTGGTATCTTTTTGATATATTTATATCCGACAAATAGTTTATCTGTAAGTCCAGTAATGTGGAAGTCAAATAAATCTGATGCCACATAATTGTGTTAATTTTTTTTAATGTATATATGTATCTATATATATATATGTTTAAATACAAGTCACAAATGCAGCGAAATTCCAAATTCTATAAGCAGGAATGCTAACATTTATTTTATTTCATATCATGTGTCACTAATGATGCCTCACGATACACGCCATTTTAAAATTGATATAATTATGATTTAAATCTAAATATGCTTGGTATCATACGAAAATCATTATCTTAAGTTGCTTTGCACGCTTTGCTAAAAATCGTTTATTAGAAGTGATCGCACTCATCAGATGTGCTCAACGTAACGTAGAAATAGGCTCATTCGAAATATCAGGTAAGTTTAATCAAACGTTTTTAATGAATTTAATGCAACGTAGCATTGCGGAAAGGGCAGAATCTTGAACGTATAAGGAATTAACACACGTTACAGTACCTGACAGAATATGGAGTATAAACGAATTAACGGAAGAGGAATTACGTGACTTGCATTTTGAGCTTGATTATGAACCCGAGGAGGAGCGATGGTGGGAACAAGAGCCGCTGAAGATGTTAGATCTGAGCTTCAATAGTTTAACTGTAATCAATGAAAAAATACAATTTCTAACGGAACTGAGCACCTTAGACGTATGTATAAATTATTTTTCGTGCACACAGTGATTTTAAATGTGCAGTGCACTTTCAATATTTCTATATATTTTATCTAAAACATTTTTAATGTCGTTTCCCAGTTGCACAACAATTTGTTAGAAGAACTACCGCCTGAGATCGGTTCTCTGCGCGAACTAAGAAAAATAAATCTATCGGATAACAAGCTACAAAATTTACCAGGTCAATTTTATATGCTGGAGGAATTGTGCGAGTTATATCTAAAAAATAATCAAATAAGTTCACTTGAAGCCGAGATCGGAAATTTAGTCATGCTAACTCATTTGGTAAAAAAAATATGTATCATTATGGCTTACATGATTATGTAAAGTCAATTTTTTAAATGAAATAATTACGGGTCTTTTTAGGACATATCATATAATAGTTTAGGCGAATTACCGATCGGAATGGGATACTTGGTGCGACTGGAAACATTGAATTTATGTCACAATATGATAAAAGAATTACCACCTGATGTAACAAGTATGAGATGTAAGTTTGTCTCTCTCTCTCTCTCTTTCATGCACATACGCATTAATAATTAATACAAAAAGCGATTTATATTTGCAACATTTACTTCGTTATTCGATAATGATTGTTATATTTTCTGGTAGCGTTAAAAACGTTAGACGTCAGCTTTAATCAATTGGAGACGATACCACCATTAGGTGAATTGCGAAAAGTAGAAAGAATAATGTTCCAGTCGAATAATTTGCAGGAATTTCCAGACATATCAGGTTGTTCAGCTTTAACAGTATTGCATTTGGATAACAATAACATTCCTGTATGTGTTAATAACGTATATATTTATGCTTGAGCCTATATCAAGACTAAAATTTAACTTCCTGCTAGAAACGCTGTTTTTACTAAGACAATGATTTTTCTTTTATAGGAAATTGATCCGCAACGCTTAGAAGCTGTAGGGCATCTGAAAAAGCTCACATTGCAAGGCAATAAAATTGAAGTAATACCTGAAGAAATAATCAAATTAATAAATTTGGAAGTCTTCGACTTATCGCACAATAACATATCTTTGTATGTTATATAGCTTCTCTTTCTCTTAACATGATTATTTTAGATATTCAGATCGTTCGATTAAAATGAATCTTCTTTACAGAATACCCTTTTGCATTGGTATATTGCCCAATTTAAAGCAATTTATAATTGAGGGAAATAATATAAAAAACGTAAGGGCAGACATAATACGATGCGGTACATCTCGCATTTTGACACACATTCGTCAGACTGTAGTCAATACAACAAGTATAAACACCAGAGAATCGTTACAACCTAGTGCCAGCAATAGTGTTTATCCTGACAAGTATGCAAATGCTAATCTGTTAATTGATATGATTAATTGAGATATTTGTTTATTCTATTTAAAAAATCTTTACAAAGTATTTCACGTACCTAATACAATTACTTTTACAATTAGTAATAAAGTCAAGTGTGATGTGTAATTTGTAATAATACAGGTACGTAATGAAAAATACAAAGTTATTCAGCTTAACTGGGCAAAATCTTTTGGAATTGCCTGAAGAAGTCTTGGAAGATGCAGCGGAAGCCTCTGTCGTAACCATTGACTTGAGCAGAAACAAGCTGTCAGGACTGCCTGATAAAATGTCGGCGATCGCTACAGTGATAGATCTAAAATTAATTTCAAATCATTTTGCAAGCTTGCCAGAATGGATTGGCGAAAAGTACAAATGTTTGCAAGTTTTAGATATAAGTAAAAATTACTTGCAATCTCTACCATCGAGCATCGGCTGTCTGAAATACTTGCGAGATATTGATCTTTCGTTTAACAGGTGTTAGAAATATATTTTTGACTTTCCAACATCCTCTCTTAACATGAAAATGTACATTTATACGCTACGTATCGTTCTGCAGATTTACCGAGTTACCAGAAGCTATTTATGACGTTGTATCTTTAGAAAGTTTAATTGCCAATGACAATCTAATCGTAAAAATAGATGTGCCACTTTTGGAAAAGTTAAAAAGACTAGCAGTATTAAATCTGTCAAATAACAATATCGCTCACGTACCCCCAGAACTTGGTAACTTGAAAAACCTAAGGTAATAAACATTTTATGTATTAGATATGCATCATATATTGTCGTCATATTTTAGTATAATATCATTTGTTTCTAATAGACATATAAATTGCTTGATGTTTTTATCTATAATATTCATAATTATATAAACATTCTTTTAGGAATCTATTGTTGTCTGGAAATTGTTTCAAATATCCCAGGCAAGCAATTCTAATGAAAGATACAGAGGAAATACTGAGTTATCTACGTAATCTAATACCTCAGTAATGAATAGAAAACGAAATGGTTTAAAAAAATATCTGAAAAATGTTAACAATTTGTTATCATATATGAATGTGTTGCGCGTAAATATTATATCTACATGCATATAAAAAAATACATTTTTACTGGTCTTAAAGATTATATATATTATATACTTATATAGTCTCATCTTAGATGAGACAAATCAAGTGCAAAATAATTAGAATAAGATTAATAAGCTGTGTAAATGTAAGTAGTAAATAGAGGGAATGAGGGAAGAAAGAACGTCTGCAAGAATATATGGAAAGAGAATGAGAGTGTGTGAGAATGCAGTTAATATATATTTTGGAAATATTTAAGATAAGATTGAATTTATGTGAATTAGGATAAATGTGAATGAAATGGAAGTTAATAAAGACCAAAGGAAATCAACGATAATTCGTGACACGCTTTGTAATATTCGACAATAAAACAATAATTTTTCTTTCCTAATAAAACAATGGACTGCTAAATCTTTATCCAGAATTTGAAAACACATATTGCCAAAATGTAACTTATTATATATAATATGTATTGTAATATACATTTTATATATTATTTATTATATATCAAATCTCTCACGCAGAAATGCGATCACACGAGCTTTGTACATACACATCGACAGCTAACATAACCTCACTCCAACTGCACAGTGCACAGGCTGCATTGGGTTGCATTCAGCTTGTCAACTACGATTCACGCGTGCATACGTTTGTGTATACATCTATAGGACACTGAACGCAATCGGAATTTGACATTAGTCATGTCACGACGTACAAATCCGCGTGAGGATTGACGTTTTAACCAAACGCCGCTGGATTCGCCGACAAATTTCTCGTAGGTACACGGCCAGTTGCTTTGGTTAGCCTGCACTGCAAATGCATTGCTCTAATGTCATCGTATTTTCCTTATAATCCCGTTGCGAATGGAATATAATCGCTTCGTTCTTTTCGTCGCTGCCACTACGTGATTCGTACGGTTTTCAGACATTCATCTAAGAGGATAGAATGACAGAGGCGGAGATGACACTCGAGGAGGAGCTTTCCCCGGACCTGTTCTCGGATTTCGAATTGTCGCAAAGCACGAACAACGCCGCTAATTCGGACTGTAAGAATCCACCTGCGTATTCCCTGTGGATCGCGTGTTCTATTGTCGCGTTTAATCAAACGTATGGCTTCAGCAAGCTCGATGTCCGTTGGCGTTAACGAACCCGAGCCCTCCGATGACGTACCCGAGTGGAAGGGCATGAGCATGGACGAGATACGTAAGGGACTCGGCGTTTACGAATATCAAGAGCATCCACCGATCGTCGTCTCTCCTCGTCATACAGTATTATATATGGTATGATTTTACTCAATGGTTAACTTTATATGTAAGTCTTGCTATGCGTATCTTGTTAGATATTCGTCTGCAATGTACCTTTTCTTTAATTAGTTACCGTTGCCTACGCATGGACCACCAAAACCGTATCCGACGCATCAAGTAGACAAATGGAGCCAGGGCTATGTACGAATGCCGCATTCTACGCATAGTTTGTACCCGATAGAACAGGTACGTGTTGCCGAATAAAATGTCCAAGACCTGCAATCTTGATGTTCTCGAATGAATCAGAAATAATTGGAAAATACCGAGGAAAATTGTCATTTACAATCCAAATTTCTAATACTGCATTTTATAATTAAGCTTTAAGTTAAAATTGTATTAAAGTAAACTTTATTTAAGTATTAATTAGTTAATAAACCTATTTTTGTAATTTATTTGCCTTCTTGGAACTTTGTGAAAAGGCCTTTTTCATCTGCTTATAAAATATTGTCTAAATATTTTTATTAAATAATTGAATTGCTTGAAGAATCTATCATATTGAGATAAGGATTGAGATGTTCTATAAAAAATATATTGATGGTTATTATGTACTATTATATTAAGATTAAAGCTTAGTCTTTTTTATACTGGATCACGGTATAGTACAAGTAATTATTGATATTAATTAGACTTTATTTTAGAGAAGTGGAAGTCGCTGCTGCCGAAATAGATGGGAGATGATCCAGGAAGCTTTGCTGAGGAGCATTCTTTCCAGCCAACAATTAGAAAACGCTATACTTTCGTACAATCAGATATATGCACAGCGCTGGAATTTTGCAGCGCTCCATCACTTTTTCTCGGAGGTATATTCTTGGAGATGCACCGCACTTAAATCATGTTCTTTAAAAATTCCGATTAATAAAAAAATTTTGAACGCAGGTTATGGATTCGGAAGAGACAACCATGTTCTTTGAAATTTTGATGCCAAAAATAGTTCTACTGGCTTTGCAGCTTCCTGTACTGTTAACTGGTCCAGTACCCTTGTTGAAACGACATAGCAACGGCTCCATCAGTTTAAGTCAATTACAAGTAGCTTCGCTACTGGCAAATGCATTTTTTTGTACATTTCCCAGACGCAATTCCAGTAATCCGCAATCGGAATATGCAACCTATCCATATATTAATTTTAACAGGTAATACTCAAAGTTATTTAAATTATTTATTTAAAATTATTTGATAAAATAATTTATTTATTATGCATTCTTCTGATCGCACATTTTAGATTGTACGCTGCTTATAACGAGAAACATAGCCAATGTGAGTCAGTGATGGAAAAGATCAAATGTCTTCTGCATTATTTCAGGAGAGTAACAGCTAAAGGTGAGTACATCATAATTATGAACTATTTTATATAATATACTTGTGCAATTTGCCGATAATTCGCGACATAACGTAGAACTTGAGTCACATTACAATTTGTACATAGAGCAGCACCTGAAGGTATAATAACAATCGAACGACGTTATGTCCCTTTGGAGAACTGTCCAAGGTGGAATTTGCAAGACCAAAAATTGCCACCGTTACACATAACGAGTAAAGGAACCATCGAGAGTGAGGGAGCAGGACTGCTTCAAGTGGATTTTGCAAATAAGTGAGTCTTTACTTTGATGAGTATTGGTTAGGACTTTAACAAACGAAATTATAAAACAAACGAACATAATAAGAAAAAGGAAAAGAGAGACGGGGGTAAAGAGATTTTTGAGATTATTACTACTTTCCTATTTAATTTTTACTAATTTTCTTTCTCATGTGTAAATAGATATGTGGGTGGAGGTGTGCTAGGTTTAGGCTGCGTGCAGGAAGAAATACGGTTCGTTATATGTCCAGAACTTATGGTTACTATGTTGGTCACGGAAGAACTAGACGATACGGAGGCGCTCATCGTCAGCGGTATCGAGCGGTACAGTAAATACGAAGGGTACAGCAGCACTTTCAAGTGGAAAGGCGATTTTGTAGACGAGACACCGAGGGATAACAGCGGCAGACGTATGACGTCAATCGTCGCTATTGATGCCCTTTACTTCAGGCAATCCTCGCTGCAATTCAATATGGACAACATAAATCGTGAGCTTAACAAGGTTTGTGGTCTTGACGTAAATTCCGTTACACTCAGAGTGGATTTATGTAAAATACTCATGAAATTTATATCTCAAGTCCTAAATTATCGTAAACGTGAAACAACTTCGTTTGTATACTAAGCTTTTGTCATTTTTATTATAACTTTTTTATAGATTATTACATATAATATTTTTAGCCATTTCATTGTTCAATAATATTCTCCCTAAGAAAATTCAAAGACTATTAATTACAGGCTGTAAAATATTTCAACGTTACGCTTATATAACGCTGTCTTAAATTTTATCGCAATGTAATGCATTCTCTGCAGGCTTATGTTGGATTCGTCGGGTCTGATACCTATAAGAACAATCTGCCCGCCATTGCAACAGGAAACTGGGGATGTGGCGCGTTCCGCGGAAATCCGAAATTGAAAGTCTTGATACAGTTAATGGCTGCTGCAGTTGCAGGCCGGTCGATGGTCTATTTTACTTTCGGAGACACGAAGCTGCGGGACGACGTGGGAGCGATGTATGCACATTTGGCTCATCACGATATTGATATAGGTACCTACATTCGCAACTTCATCCAAAAGTATTAATATATATATATATATATATATGGAAATTATAATCGTTTTCATTCCCTATTTATACATTAATTGGGCTATTTTTTTTCATTAACTTTTAGCACGACTTCACTCAATGCTGTCCGAGTATCGTCGAGAGTCTGCGTCATCAAACGCCGATTCGGATTTTTATCGTTTCTTGTACAACAGAAGTAGGATAAAACCGTTGAGCAAGTACTTCCCGGCAAAGACTGAAAGCTCTTCGAATATCTCCGCCGAGTGTCTGAAGAAAAAGCTATTTAAAAGAAAGGAAACCGCGACCTTATCGAACGAAGATGTCGATAAGCGATTTACTTACTCGGCGGCTAAGGAGAAGGAAATGGCGGAGGAGGAAAAAATAATGAATTGGTTGACAAGCTGCGAGGACAATAGCAACGACAACGTTAAGCGCGATAACGAGGATGAGAAGGGTGATACGCGTGATGAAAAAAACAAGAATAATCCAAGAGAAGGAGATGATCATAACAACGACGATTTGCAAAACAATCGTCTCGCAAATAACACTATCGATGGAGAGAACACACAAATGGAAGATAAGATGTTAAACAAGTTGGATAACAGTGCGAATACCTTGAATTCGGAAAAACCCGCGATTCTTATCGACAGTCAAGACACGTCAAAGAAGATGAAACCCGAGTCGTCTACGGAACTGAATGACAGCGAATCCGTTAAGATCTTGAAAGACTGTGCCCCGGAATCGGATAAACAAAAGTCACTCCCGAAAAAGGGTGGCCAAAGGAAGATATCGGACTTTTTCCAACGAATATCGTGAATTCTGAACGGGTGTTTCAAACCAATGCCAATTAGCTTCTGCGCATTCTGCAATTATAAATATTCTGTATAATCTGTATAATTTTAAACGTTATACAAATCTCTTGAAAGTACAATGTAAATAAAATTCTGTATAAGATGGAGTTATTCAAGCACCTTAACATTTTCTCATTTTATATCCGATATCTTATATTTTGTTTTAAAAAGCGAACATATGCAGTTGTATGAAATTATCGAAAAATAATGAAAAACGCAAGTATCTTATAACTTCCAACGTGCAAAAAAATCAATATTTTTTATTTTTAATTAATAATGATTTCTCGCATTCTTAAATCGTCTGCCGGTAGTTAACATCGACGGACGGCCCTTCGATCACCGCTCGACGGAGAGTCCCTTTAAAAATCGACCTTTAAACCCTCCCCCTCCCCGTTCCCCGCTCGGCGCGCGGGGGATCGTCTTGCCGCGGGTCACGTGGCCGCTTATCGACGTATCGCGTTGGGCCGAGCGAACTGTCAAATGCGAAGATGGCCGCCGCCACTGAAATATTAAAGTCTCCCGCCGTGAGAATCGACACGACTCGCCGACAGAAAATGTAGAGTTTCCCGTGACGGAGGCGCGTCCCAGGTAATAACCGATCGCGCGGCACCGCGCGCGTCAACGCGAGATCGTTCTCCGCGGTGACGTTCCTGGGGCGGATTCGGACACGACGTTTTCGCGGAGTATACGCGCGTGTATGTACGTGTCACTTGCGTGCGTGTGCGCGCGTGTCTGTGTATATGCGCGGTGTGACATCTCGATCTCGTCTGACGTTTCGCGAGAAAGAGGGAGAGAGAGAGAGAGAGAGAGGGAGTGAGAACGAGCGGGCGGGCGGACGGACGTAAATATTGAGCCGGACGCTCGGCGAGCGACGATGCCGCTGATCCGTGTGCGCTGACCGCCGACCCGATCGGCCTGTCGCAGTCGCACACGCTCGACTCGACGCCGGGGAGGATCGCCGATGCCGTGCCATTTTCGACGAGTCGCTCCATGCTGCCCGCGACGTTGACACCCGCGACGACGTCGGCACGACGGCCGCACGAGCGTGCCCGCTGACGGCCGCGCGGATACGCCGTCATGCTCTGCTCCCGCACGACGCGTCCCTACACGCGCCCCTTGCCGATCGCCTGAGTTGTTAAATCGCGATTCAACGTATGTTTCTCAATGCCTGTGCGTGTATGTGTGTGTCTCTGTGTATGTGTGTCCGTGTGTGTATGTGTGTCGTTTTGCGTCGTTCCTTTTGAGCACGTTGACATTTTCGTCAATTCGTTAAAATAGCTCATTCGTATCGATCAGCTCTCCTATTGACCAGCTATGACGAGAAAGTTGAGCTCGTGTCGAGCGCATTATTCTCTTTTTTTTCTAACTGTTCCTTTTTTTACTCCGTTTTTTTACATACCAAGTTAAGAAAGAGATTATACCTGTCTTTGTTGTCACTTTGCAGCCTGCTTTGCAGTTTCGATGTTGTTTGAATGGTAGATCCGTGAAAAAGTTGTCCTTTTGCGCAACGATGCCAAGGTTTCTCCTGTGTCGCAGCTGGAGAACTCCGAAATGCCGGATATCTATGTTTCCTCTTCTTCTTTTCAGCAAATCTTAAGTATGAACATAATGCGCAAATTACGAGGGGGTACCAGCGTCGGAGGTATGAGCTCGAGCGGTACCGCTGGCCTGGACGATTGTGCCGGCGGCACGAATCCTCAGCACACCGCTCTGGGGCTTATGCACCTCAAGAAACTCTTCTCCGAGTACACCCATCCGCCGCATCCCCTCTCTGACACCGAACGTGATGATAAATTGTACAACATGTTGCCATTATTTTGCAAGGTAGAGCATAAAAGTGGATTCTTTAATATAAGATACTCCATTCCGGTATAAAGCAGCGTTGCCCAAGTGCTTTCTTCCCTTCGATATTCGAGAACGGATCATTCGCTTTAGAAAAAATGTGGTTTCCACATATTTCTTGCGTCGTCGTTGTAATTATAAAGAGACCGTCTCGTGCCGCTAGGTATTTGGCTCTAGTCCATCGGGAGACATGAACGAAAAGTTCTGGGACATTTTGGCATTCACGCAACAAGTATCAAGACTGATGGTGTCCGAGATCAGGAGGAGAGCGAGCAACCAGAGCACCGAGACGGCGAGCTGTGCCATCGTCAAGTTTCTAGAGATCGAGAACAGCGAGGAGTCGAGTAACGGCTGGATGTTGCTGTCCGCATTGAATCTGTTGGCGGCGGGTGACACGTCTCTGATACAAGTGAATTGAATTTCTTCGGTTGATTATCCATTTCCGAAAGCGAATTCTTTTTCTGCAACGTCAAAAATTCTTTTCAGGCCATGACCGCTGCCTCGGTACCGTCAACTTTGGTGAAATGTTTATATCTGTTCTTCGATCTGCCTGAGATGAACGAAGAAGATGCCGACATTACAGATGCAAATAGCGAATTTACTCCTAGAGAACGTAGGATACTATTACAAAAGATATTCGTTCAGGTGACAATAACTTTCCAAAATAACAGTTTCATATTTATCTGAAAGATTTAACTTTATCCGCGTGATTAATTTGTACCGTTACAACTTACAGTTATTGGTGAGATTATGTAGCCACCCTTATCCCGCAGAGGAACTCGCCCGCAAAGACGATCTTACCTTATTGTTCTCAGCAATAACCAGTTGGTGTCCACAGTACAATATTATGTGGCGTAAAAGTGCCGCCGAAGTCTTGATGACGCTATCTCGACATGGTCTTACGCAGAATGTAGTAGCCTATATTCATAGTAAGTTCAATACTTTATTGTACCTTTTATTAGTTCAAGATCAAATCTACTTGACGTGTTGATTCATCTTGCAGATAAAGGATGCATAGCACTTTGTATCGATAATATGCAACGTGTACCTGAGCTGGCACCATTAGAAGTTGTAGAAATGTTCGTAACAGCGTTCTGTTTTCTAAAAGATTCCAGTGAAGTTTCTCAGACATTGCTAGATGACTTTCGTGCTTGTCAAGGCTATATCTTTCTATCTGAATTTCTGTTAAAGTAAGTAAATGTCTAAATGTCGATTATGAAATACGGTAGCTATTTGTAGTGGTGCATTAAGAAAGAGATATTTCTACAGACATGCGCCGTCAAGATTAGAGCAAGATAACAGAGCGGAAGCACAAGATGCTATCCGAAATTTGGTACTAATGTTAGCGTCTTTAACAATGTGTGGTCATACAGAATTAAAGCCGAGTCAAGCTAGTATGGGATCTTTGTTTCAAATGCTTGGGTTTACCTTGCCACAGCCAAGTAACAGAGGTAACTTTGCAAATAAGATGCTTGTGAAATAAAAATATACGGCGAACATATTTTATGTCGTTTTATTGTATTTGCAGGAGGAAGCGTTCGAAATATTCAAGCGTTCCAAGTATTGCAATCTGTATTCGTGAAATCTAATTCACCACTTCTGTGTTGCACTATATTGGACGCGATATCTAGCGTGTATCACAGCGATAATGCAAATTACTTTATTCTCGAGGGACAGAATACCCTGTCCCAGTTTGCAGAGAAAATCCATTTAAAGAATCCGGAGATACAAGAGAAGTTCTTTCAATTGCTGGAGTTTATTGTTTTCCAACTTAATTTTGTTCCATGTAAAGAACTCATATCTCTATCCATTTTATTGAAAACGAACAATTCAGTCTCTTGCAGTATTATGTGTATGGAAACTCTTCTCAATATACTCAGGTAATAATATATGCTGAAGATAATGTAGGAAATTTTATTTTAAAATACATTTAAATAACAGATATTGACTTTTTAAATATAATCCGCTCATTTCAGACACAACACTATATTTAAAGATGTTTATAGAGAAGTTGGTATGTTAGAAGTTTTTGTGACTTGTCTTCATCGGTACGCAACGTTACTTAAGGATAAACAAGCTGCGACTGATCAAGGATTAGGTAATTTTCGTTAAAGACATTGTCATACGTAAGTTTGTACGCGAGTTTTGAGAATTTGACATGGTTTCAGAATACACGATATGCCCCGAGGATGAACGGTTGGGTGCCTTAGTAATGGAGGCTTTAACAACATTATTAGCGAGTAATGTTCAAAACGCGAATGTGTTTAGAGAATGCGGAGGCGCGCGATGCGCTCATAATCTAGTGCCCTATGTAGATTGCCGGTATCAGGCACTTGGTATTGTGAGAGAATTGATACTCAGTGCGGGTGGTGACGATGATATGGCGACCCTATTAGGAGTTATGCATTCAGCACCTCCTAATGCCTTGATATTGAAGACACATATACTAAAGGTGAATTTAATATTGCTCCATTAATCTCGTTGCTATATATTCGTAAAATTATTAACAATATAATTTATATTTTTCAGTCTCTGTTAGCCTGTTTGCGTGAGTCGCATAGGACTAGAACGGTTTTCCGAAAAGTTGGGGGCTTTGTTTACGTAATGTCAGTTCTGGTATCTCTGGAGAATCAATTAGGCCCGCAAAGGTCGGAGAAGAACGAACCTTGTAACGATATCATACAAAGAACTATGCAGGACGAGAGCCAATTGCTAACATTGCTACACGTGGTATTTCATACTATAAGCACAGCTATGCGATTTGAGCCAGCAAATGCAAAATTCTTCCATCATGAGGTACAGATTTGAAGCATATTGTAATAATTACGCTATTAATAGCCTGTTATTTTTATTGTAAAAAAATAATATTGATTTTATAGATTTGCCAATCGAGTCTGTGTGATACTTTACGCCTACTTGGGTGTTTCTCGACGCAGACGAAAATCACTGAGATGGATATGATACCAACCATGAATTATCATAATATGCTAATATCATTATTTACTGGGAGTATTCTGGAACCAGTATTTCCAGATAATATGCCAAAGACATTAGGATACGCATGCTTGCTGCTGCGTTTGCTTTATGACGTGGCGCTCGATTCCTTTGACAAACCAAATTTAGCTAACGTAGGGATAAGATCCCCAAGTCACAAGCAAAATAGCATGGAGGTATACTCTTCTTATCAGAGTATCACCAATCTATCTTTTAAAAATGGTAATTATGGCTGTGCGTTTCAGCAAAAGTCATTCGACTCTCCTGGAAGCGGCAAGAGATATATTATAAATTCCTTAAACCTAAGCCCACCTGCACCTGAGCCAATTGTGGTTCATCCTGGCATAGTAGTCGGAATGCTTCACCTACTCCCGTCTATATCCGAACCATCTAATCCGCAAATGGCACTAGCGTTACAATTGTACGTGGCGGAGATCATCAAGAGCTTAGTAAGGTCAGAAAGAAATCAGCAAGTGATGTGTGAAGCTGGTATGGCTGGTGAATTGCTATCAGTAGGTAGAATTGCTTTGCAAGACGAAGCACACCCGCTACATCAACCTCTGCAGTACATCATAGAAAGACTCGCTGCGCAATCGCTTGAACCAAGAGATCTAAGGTAACATCGGAAAAAAAAAAATATATATATATATATATATATATATATTCGAATTGTCATCATTTGTAATTTAATTCTTCTAGAGAATTTCTACGTTTGGGTGATCCGTTATGTTGTATTTCACTGGATGATATCGAGCCGAACAAATTTAGGGGTGGACCAGTTCCTTTAACGCGGATTAAGACATTAGTGTCGATGACGACGCCCAAGGACTTCAGAGCTCATGGTTCATGCACTTTACCACCTTTCGTGGAGCTCGATATGAGCGCTGAGGGATTTGCATGTTTATATCTACCAAGTGTCGCTCCGCAAAGTACCACACCTCCTACAGTTGTCTCCGCAGACAATAGTGTACTGGGAGGGATTGGATCAGGTAAATGACGTACTGCTGAAAACATATTAATGTATGATAAAAAATTAATGTATAATCATCCCTGTTAGATCAGACAATAACTATAATAAAAATATGATATAATAACAATAAAAATGTATTTAATTTCATAATTTTAGAAATTTTTGTAATGATTGTTATTATATATATAAGTAAATATTTATTTTAGGCGATAGATTATTTCCGCCACAGACCGGCTTAACATACAGTACGTGGATATGTGTTGACAAGTTTAGTGATCCTAGAACTGACCCTCATTGTGTACGATTACTCACCTTGGTGCGCACTCCGCAATCTGCAAGAGATTTAATTTGTTTGACTGCAGTTCTTAGTGCTAGAGATAAGGCTATTATTGTATCCACTCAGGAGACACCCATTCCGCAAAGTGAGTACTCTAAAAATATGCATCATTAAATTTAAGTAGCGTAATACAAATTAATGTGCATTTTTTAGATACAGGTGAATGGGAACCCGAAGGGACGGGTGAATGTGGTGCCAGGGTTTGGTGTCCCGATTTACTTCACGAAGGACAGTGGCACCACATAGCTATCGTGTTAAACCGCGCGGTTCTGAAAAACTCTAGCTTCTCATTATACTTAGATGGTCAACATATCCATAGTCAAAAGGTAATTACCATTAAAACGAAATGATGAAATAAAGGTTTTCTAGATAGCACATATGCAATGTATTTGTTTTTAGCTTCATTACATCACGCAAGTTCCTGGAGGTGGAGCAGCCAACTTAACTGTGGCTTCTCCGGTTTACGGCTACATCGGTACGCCGCCCTGTTGGCGCAGATATTCTAGATTGACATGGAAACAAGGACCGTGCCACTTGGTAGAGGAAGTGTTTAATTCTCAAAACATTGCCACTTTGTTCAGACTAGGGCCGCATTATATGGGAAGCTTGCAAGCACCGCAATTGAGTGGTATTGAAATAAACATGACTAATTTTCAAAATATATAATTCTATAAGTAATAAATATTAATAATATATGTTATTACAGGCCCCGAATCTCTAGCACCTCTTGTAGCTGAAGAAAAGGTTGTGTTTGGATTGAATGCAAAAGCTATGTCGCAATTAACTCTAGCGAAAATCAGAAAAGTTTACAGCCGTGCGGATAATAAGTCAATCGCCAAACAAGTATGAATGCCTTAATCTTTTGAGTGCAATATAACGAAAAAGAAAGAGATAAAAATTCAAACTAATTGACACGCATTAATATCTGATTAATATCTTGTTCTTTTGTACAACAGCTTGGCATGTCATCCCATGAGAACGCCACACCTATCAGAGTCCTCCATAATTCCGCGGGACACCTCAGTGGTCCAGCTAGAGCATTAGGTGGTGTAGTTGTCGGTTACCTTGGCGTTCGTGTATTTAGTCCTAAACCAGTAGCTACTATGATCGACAATGTAGGAGGATGTTCAGTGTTATTAGGTATGATTGACAATGAGACTCAAGTGGCGAACAATGTTCATCCCGATATTCTAACGATAAGATAAGACTAAAAAGGCGATATTTAATCTGTTTAAAAGGTTTAATAGCTATGGCCCAAGATGTAGAATCTTTGTATGCGGCTGTAAAGGCACTAGTATGCGTAGTGAGATCCAACCAAGCGGCCCAACAAGAGATGGATCGCAGGAGGGGATATCAGACCCTGGCTATGTTATTGCGAAGGAAATGTCCTCTCTTGAACAGCCACATACTGCACTTAACGTTCAGTCTCGTGGGGACAGTCGACAGCGGCAGAGAAACCAGTGCAATTCCTAATGTTACAGCGTTTCAAGATCTCTTATGTGATTTGCAAGTATGTTTTAAAAATTTCATAATTTCAATAGCGAGTGTGCATTCAAACAAACAACTGATTTAATTAATTAACTCAAATTCAGGTTTGGCATGAAGCACCTGGAGAACTGCTAAGATCTCTCCTTGAACATTTGTATGAGCTAATAGCGGAATCCAGCGAAAAACGAACTAACTTGCGATTAATGAGAGATTTACAATTAGTTCATAAATTACTGCACATCTTAAGCGACGTAAAGCTAAGTAGCACCAGACAGATCCTTCTGGCGCTTCTCAGTATATTATTGAGTCAACCACGACAAGCTGATCTACTATGGTAAACAGTTCTTTACTACTGTTATATTAATACTGTTATAACTACTGTTATATTAATTATTTACATACATACAACTCTCTTATCTGTCTTTTATGTAGGTTTGGGCAATTCATTGTGGCTACTTTACCGCTATGTTCCGAAAAACACCTAATCCTTAGAGAAGGAGAAGGAACAAAGGATGGGGAAGGAGAGAGTATACTTTTACGTAATCGTTGTTTACAGCTTTTACATTCGTTGTTGTTTAATGGATCCAAGGTTAATGTAAAGTAAGAAATTGTGCTAATATCTTTGATTATTACGTCAATATGCCGAATATATACGTTTGATGATATAAGTGCGACTGTACTTTTGCAGTATGTGTGAAGAAGTAGCTAAAGTTTTGGGCCTAGATTGGGTACTACTGTTCCTCCAGTCTGATCTTCATAGTACTACAGTTATCTGGGGATTACGTATACTTGTAGCGATGTGTTCTGTGCAATCGATTCTACAAAAATTCAAAGAAGGCACGAGCAATGGTGGTTGGCTGCGGCATACCGATCACAACAAGATGGCACTAGCACTTGGTATACAAATGGTTTTATGCTTACATAAGTGTTTCAATAAATATTGTTTCTACATATTTAATCTAAAATAGTTGCAGTATAATAATACAATATAATTATAACATACGTAACAGGTTGTCATCAACAAATGTCAACTGGTGAAATTAAACCATCTGGACTCCATGTACCGGGATTTCAACATCTGGGCTGGTTGCTTCCGCAACATATCGATCTTGTTCCGGAACTTTATTTTCTCTTCATTGCTCTCATGATGGGACAGCCTGTAAAATTGTTGCCTACCGATTCGAAGGTAAAAATAGTCCATCTTATCTTTATATTAAATCTATATATGTTTTCGCAAAGTGTTTTAAATCTAAATGAAGTGATTTAGTTGCTCTTTGTTCCCTGAAATCGAGTCTGTGTTGCTCCTTTATTAGCGTTTAATATACAGAAAATAATAACACTATAATAATAATAACTACGTATATATTACAATTATGTGGCAGCTCGATTTGGATAACGTTTGGAATTTTATGTTCGGAGTCCCGGCAAATCACACATTATCGTCCTTTGCTAGTAGAATTAATCTTTGTCCCGAAGCAATGGTAACGTTACTAGCTATGGTGCGGACTATGTTGAACAACCACTCGAACAAGTGAGTTATCACGAGGAATCATTAATTTGTTTCATAATTGTGTCGTATTACTTTGTAATGAATCTTTTTTTCAACAGCCCGGAAGTATTACCAGCGTGGTTAAACGATTATCCCGTGACAATAATACAATTCCTGTTTTTCCTTTATCGCAATTTCACTGACTTCATGCAAGTCTTTATGTCCGCGGAAGTTTTGGGTGCCTTAGCTGGGACCTTGTTTCCGAAACCCGCGAGTTCTAGTCAGGATAGTAGTGGTGCCAGTACCCCAGCTGACGAGGTAATTATGTTAATTCAACAAGTTCTAAAAAAAAGGATACTTTCGATTTTTTAATTGAATACTATCAGGACTGACACTCTTAAAAAGCTTGCTATATAAATTTGTAAGTCAAATTGGAAAGTATCTTTATGGAGACGTCTTGTAGATATCTTACAATTAAAGATATTAACTTTAATGCCGGATAATTATTGCAGCAAGAACCAGTATTAGTGAGATCGCCGTCGAAAGACGTCGGGTTGACAAATCACCCGGCGAAGAAGTTCGTAATGGACTTTTTTAAAGTTATCGTTGTTGACTCGCTCTCATTGCCAGTTACGACGAAATCTCCGGCGATAGATCTTGTCCTGGAAGCATGGCCGGAACATGCGTCAACGGGACAGCAAATGCGTTATCAGACAGAAGTGTTGTCTATATTGATGGAACATTTATTAGCCGCGGATGTATTGATAGGGGAGCAGGCTGCGTTACCTGTCGTTCCTGGTGGATCGGCCAATAACATAACTCATAACGTTTGCTACGTAGCAGCCAGAATAGTTGACAAATTATGGCAAGGTAATAATTTGATCTGTGCACTGCGTATACGTTAATCTAGTTAATTAATTAAATAGATTAATAAAAAAAAAACGTTACTATATATGTGATTTCTCAAATATCAGGCGCTCTGACGAAAGACCCGCATGAAGTATTCGATTTCATTGTAAAATTAATTGGACAAGCAAAAAGACGACCCGGCGCTGTTAGTATGGAAGGCCTTCATCACTGCCTGAATAGGATAATTTTATTCTTACTGTCACGTGCGACCGATTCTATTGCCGATCAAATGGCGGTATTGGAGGCATTACATAAGCTTACTACTCATAGGTATGTACAAGAAGCTGTGAAATGTTATGTACGTTTATACACATAATACTTATATTTTCATTAAAAGTAAAGAGAAATTAAATGAGTTACGATTTTTCTGCAGATTATTAGTATTTGGTGCTGGCAATCACGAGTTAGAATTTATCGGCTGTTTAACGTATTGCTTGTTACAATTGACGGCTGATATAAAGATCATGTTGGATACTAATATGAAAACCACGTGGCACGTGAACCCGCAAGTGGAATCCAGTGACGACAGACTAATGTCTCACCAGGGGCATAATTTAATGGCTGTAGCGGCAACGAGAGTCTGGGAGGAGTTGTATGTATGTAAAAAGCCCGCGATAGAGGAAGTTTTCAAAGTAACTCTGTCACCACCTGTGGGTAACGAGCGGGCACCAGAATTGCCGGTCGTGAGAGAACAAGTTCACGAAGCTGCGTCGAAGCTTTGGTTGAATTACGTAGTTTCGGAAAGAAGAGCCTCATACAGGGTTCCCTGGGAACTCCACAATCAAATCCAGTCGGTACGTTAAGCTTTCCTTGCGTCTACATGTTATCTGTGTATTATCAAAATTATTAAAAATAAAATTACGCTAAAACTGCATATTTGGATAAGTAGTAGTGTATGTATATAAAAAAATTACAGAAAATCCAAAAGGTAACAGGAGGATTGACGAGATTAGCGAGCCGAACAAAAGTGCGAAAAGAAGAGTCTGTACGCGTAAGACTTAGGCTACATCAGAATACCGTTGCTCAATGGACAGAACAGCACGTCGCGTTAGTCAGGGAACTTGCTGCAGTGAGGCGTTTGCAGCACCAACAGACCAACCTGCACACTCAACGTTACGTATATCAAGTAAGATATTCTGTCTAAGAATTTTATTTATTTCTGTTAGTTTTTCCTTATCGAACAACAAAATCGATAATTACCTTTTGCAAGAGATATATGTATTCCGCGTTAATGGAAAACTTAACGTGGAAAAAATAATATGCTAAAAATATTCATTTGTAGGAATGGCTGCAAACTGAAACGGAATTGACTAGAGAACGCGGTCTTTGGGGACCTCCGACACCTACTATACTGGACAAATGGATGTTGGACATGACCGAAGGGCCGTGTAGAATGCGGAAGAAGATGATGAAGAATGAACTCTTCTACATACATTATCCATATCGGCCTGAATTAGAGCACCCTGATAATGTGAGTTGTATGTCTTTACGATAATGAACCGTAGAATTATTTCGAAACTTAAACATAAGCATCTACATGTATTCGCAGTCATAATGTATTTATCTGTTAACTGTTTAGAAACAGCTAAAGTACAAAGTAGCGACGAGCATGGATAGTAAGGAATACTATTTGAAACAAGTCAACAATTCGTCGGGAATGTTTGAACGCGAACGAGACCCCGTTATAGATGATACACCGTTAAATGTCAATGAAACTTCTACCGAGAGCGAGCCGCCGATGGTTCCGTGCACGCTGGAACGCCACGCCAGCGAGCCAGACGAAGCGCCCGAGGATAACGAACAGGAAGAAGAGAACAATCAAACTGTTCCAGACAATCAAACTTTGATACGTCTACTGGAGGAGCATGAGAAGGTTTCTCTATATAATCAATGTTTACGAAATTACCGTAACCGCAAAGTTCTTGTTCTAATATCTTTATTCGCGTTTCAGATAAGTCACATGTTTAGATGCGCGCGAATACAGGGTTTGGACACGACCGAGGGTCTCCTCTTATTCGGAAAGGAACACTTCTACGTGATCGATGGATTCACATTGTTGAAATCTAGAGAGATAAGGGATATAGAGAGTTTGCCGGACGCGTACGAACCGATCCTACCGTCGCCGGGATCTCCCAGAAGATCTAGGGCGATGAGACAGTGTTCCAAGTTCAATTACGAAGATATCAGGTATTCTCGAGATAAAGTTTTCTTTGCACAATATCTGAATATCAGTTTAGATCGCTATATGAACTTCATATTATCTACAGGGAAGTACATAAGAGACGATATTTATTGCAACCCATGGCACTGGAAGTATTCAGCGGAGACGGTAGAAACTATTTACTGGCATTTCCGCGAAAAGTGAGGAACAAAGTTTATCAAAGATTCATGACGTTCGCTACTGCGATCGCCGACAGCGCTCAGCAGTCCGTAGCTGGCCAAAGGCGAACGGCAAATGTCGAGCAGGCCACTGGCTTGCTTTCGAATCTTATAGGGGAAACTTCGGTTACCCAGAGATGGGTGGTTAGTAGTTACAACTATGTAAAACAAATAGGATAAGTAGTAGAGCCTGTACTCCTTATTAAGTATAAACATTTTCCTCACAGAGAGGAGAAATATCTAATTTCCAATACCTGATGCATCTCAATACTCTGGCGGGTCGTAGTTACAACGACCTTATGCAATACCCGATATTCCCGTGGATCTTAGCCGATTACGACAGCGAGGAACTCGATCTCACGGACTCGTCGACATTCAGAGATTTTAGCAAACCTATGGGCGCACAAAGTCCCGAACGATTGTTGCAATTTAAGAAAAGGTATAGAAAGCAGAGTGATATATAAAAATGTGTTTCCCGTTGTGGAAAAGATATATTTTTAAAACGATTATCCTTTTTTTTTTTGCAGATATAAAGAGTGGGATGATCCGCACGGAGAGACTCCCCCTTATCATTACGGCACACATTATTCGTCAGCGATGATAGTATGTTCCTACCTGGTGAGAATGGAACCGTTCACACAACACTTTCTCAGATTACAGGTTTGTACATATCGAAAGCACAGTAATTTGTCTCTTATCCTCGATCTTTACATGTAACATGTGCAATAATTACAATTTTTCACAGGGTGGGCATTTCGATTTAGCTGACAGGATGTTCAATAGTATAAAAGAAGCGTGGTTGTCCGCTTCCAAACATAACATGGCCGATGTGAAAGAACTTATCCCAGAATTTTTTTACCTCCCGGAATTCCTAGTCAATTCAAATCATTTTGATCTAGGTAAATGCTTCTTCGAATACGATACGTTACTTAGGTTTCTTCGCGCGTAATGGTCTCACGCGTGACATTTTCCTTGTAGGCTCTAAGCAAAGCGGTGTTCAACTCGGCGATATCGTTCTTCCACCTTGGGCGAAGCAGGATCCTCGTGAATTTATCCGTGTACACAGACTTGCGCTGGAATGCGATTACGTGTCGCAGCATCTCCATCAGTGGATCGATCTGATATTTGGGTGCAAGCAGAACGGCCCGGGGGCTGTCGAAGCCGTCAATGTATTCCATCATCTGTTCTACGAAGGCAACGTTGACATCTACAAGTTAGTTTACATAATTAATTCCGTTCATTTATTATTTCGAAGTCTCATCTAGAATAAGTTTTCTAATTCCGTCTCGATTGCAGCATCGACGATCCGCTGAAAAAGAACGCTACTATAGGCTTCATCAATAATTTCGGCCAGATACCTAAGCAATTATTCAAGAAGCCACATCCGGCGAAAAAGATGACGCAGAGAACCAGCGTTATAGATCCCGGACCTATCACCCCTGGACTGAGCATCACTACGTCTGACAAGTTGTTCTTCCATAATCTCGACAATTTGAAACCGTCGCTGCAACCCATTAAAGGTTCGTATCCCCGCATCTCTGCTCGACATTTTTTGTTAATAAGGCCACACATTTTTAAATATCTAATTTATTTTTTCCTTCACAGAATTAAAGGGTCCCGTTGGACAGATATTGCACGTCGACAAAGCTGTGTTAGCGGTAGAACAAAACAAGACACTCATCCCACCTTCCTACAATAAGTACGTAGCATGGGGATTCGCTGATCATTCCCTCAGAATAGGGAACTACGACAGCGACAAAGCGATTTTCGTTGGTGAGGCTATGATGCAAAGCAGCGGAGAAATAGTGGCGTGCGTTTGTCCGTCTTCCAAATTGATAATTACTGCTGGCACCAGCTCCGTAAGTCTTTCGTTTACAGGAAAGAGAAGGTTGTGAAACAGAAAATTTCAAATAATTTCTTTTTTATGAGAAAAAGATAAATTATCATAGAAAATGCCCATCGCATTTTATTTTATTAGTTTATTTTACACAGTCTAGTTATTTAAAAGATAGTAGGACTAACTTGTGTGAAAAATTATTACTTGAAGTTATCTTTTTCTATTCTATTTTACGCTAGTATTAATTGTGCGTGTTCGTAGGTCGTCACTGTTTGGGAATACGCCAAGCGGCAACTCTCCATAAAACAGTGCCTGTACGGACATACCGATGCAGTCACATGTTTATCATCCAGTCCCGCGTACAACGTTATCGTATCCGGATCGCGGGATGGTACGGCGATTATATGGGACTTGTCCCGATGCTTGTTTGTGCGTCAACTTAGGGGCCATGCAGGACCAGTGGCGGCAGTAGCCATAAATGAATTAACGGTATTTACATTAACATTATACGTAAAGATGCGGTAAGTAGAAGTATATGTGACAAAATGTTACGTGAAATATGTTGCAGGGAGACATAGCTACATGCGCAGCTACATGGTTACACGTGTGGAGTATCAATGGAGAAGAATTGGCAAGCGTTAATACTTGCGTTGGCCGCGCCGACAGAATGCAACAAATATTATGTGTCGCTTTTAGTCAGACTCACGAATGGGACTCCCAAAATGTTATTATGACTGGCTCCACTGATGGCGTTGCTCGTGTAAGATATAACGTTTCTATTCCTTTAAAATGTTTTAGCAAAATTTCACGAAAAATATTTTCGAGCTATGGGGCAATTTGTTTACAGATGTGGTCAATGGATTACGTGCAAGTGCCTTCGGAGGAAGAGAAGCCTGAAGAAGTGACGACTGCCAAAGAAAAGAATGAGAAGCAAAGCACGGAAGGCAACCAAACTGAAACGAAGAAGAGAGTTCAGGAATTAGTCAAACAAATGAGTATATCTGCCGAAGGATCAGGTAAGCCTAAGGATCATAACGTCGCGCATATATCAATGAATGCAGTTATAATGGATTTTTATCTTTGCTTCAAGGTGCACTTATGAAAAGTGGCTCTGAGAGTAGTCTCTCTGAAGCGGAAAATCCCAAAGAAGCTTCCAGGCTTCATGAAGAAAAGGAGGAGTGTTCCGATAACGAATCCAGTAATGGTTCAAGTAATAAACCTTCACCTCAGAATAATCACGCGTCACTGGTCGTGTTGCGTAGGAAAAGTCGCGGAAATCCGATGTTCAGGAAAAGCGAAGGTGGTGGACGTGCCGATAGCGAGGGCACGCAAACCAGGTAATACAATTTACAATCACAAGTTGCGGAGATCCTATTGTAATCGTGGGATATTTCTCTGTTATATTTCACAGCGAGTCCGTCAGCAATCCCGGAGATTCCGAAGGGGCGTTGAGGACTAGTAAGAGCGATACCAGTCTGACCGACAGTTTCGTTATGGTCACTGAAGCCGACACGAAGCCGCGAAAAATCAATCCACAAAATATCTTGAGGGACGGTTTCAAATGGCAAAGACAATTGGTATTCCGCAGTAAATTAACAATGCATACTGCCTACGATCGTAAAGACAATGCAGAACCAGCATCCATCACGGCCCTAGCGGTATCAAGGTATTTATGAAGAGCATATAATATTGATGAATTCTACCGACAATTTTCTCATAATAAAATAAATTTTATTAGATTTCTACTTATTGTTATATATGTGATCTCTTTTTAAATAAATAAAAACAATAAACAATAATTGAATAAAAGCATTACGTTTTAATTTTTGGTCACACCAGTTGCAGTGTATTACTCACTTTTATACACGATTATAAAATTTAATTATTTATGAAATAATATTAAGTAGATACATTATTATTGTATTATTTGATTCGTAGGGATCACAGAACAGTGTACGTGGGTGACACTCGTGGTAGAGTATTTTCATGGAGCGTATGCGAACAACCCGGACGCACGGTCGCCGATCACTGGCTGAAAGACGAGGGAGCGGATTCTTGCGCTGGTTGCGGCGTTAGATTCAATCTATACGAAAGAAGACATCATTGCCGCAACTGTGGGCAAGTATTCTGCTCGAGGTAAGTGTCTTAGGGATCGTATTTATCTCAAGAAAATGATCTTTTGTGCTTTGCCGAGGTATTTAGCCGAGTTAATTACTTCACGCAGATGCAGCCGATTCGAGTCCAAAATATCCAGGCTCGGTATCCTAAAGCCGGTTAGGGTCTGTCAGGGCTGTTATTCGTCATTACGGTCTCAGAGTAACTCCACTGAGAGTAACACTTAATGTGACAGCACGAAGTCTTATCTTACATAAATCGTTAAATTATATGGAAAACTCTTAGCGGGTTGTAAATACTTAAGTGTACCTATTAATCTTTCAGTTGAAGTTCTGTACATGAACAAAACACAAAGCGTTCTATTCTTTCTCGTGCGTGAACTCAACGCGCGATCTATTGTTATTTGTGATCTATTATATTTGTTTTATTGGGTGAGTTCATGTATTCGTGATTCTACTTGTATCTGCGTAAGCAAAGTTTGTTGCATTTTTATTCTTTTCGCGATGACATTTCCATTATTAATCGATTCTATTGAAGCAACAAGAAGGTATGATTATTATAGGTATTAAGTGCTAGGTTGTACATTCCTTGTCGATTGTTTCGAGTTATAGATAAAATATTATTAACTTGCGAGAGAGAGAGAGAGAGAGAGAATTCTAATATATTAAAATGAATTACATATTATATATTTAATATAAACTTTTTATTATTGACAGGTCTGTATAAAATTTATGCGTACTAATTTTTCACTCTCTCTATGTTTTAAATCAAGTTATATTATGAATCAAATTATATATTATATGTTACCCCTAAAATTTGCATTAAGGGCGACGACGTAAGATGTACTTTCCAAATTTTCTTAATTAAATTCTTATATATATTTAAATATATTTTATTTAGCACAACAGTGCATTAAGTCGCAAAATGGTAACAGTATTTATGTCATCTCCAACCATTATGTAATATGTTACCTTGATTATCATTTATTGATCATGATTATTAATATTATACATTATTTATATACAAAATTAAATATGATATATATAGATATAATCTGTGATTTTATTTTTCTATTTTTATTTAATGGTTCGCATAAATATTAATCGACTATGTTATTACATCGATATTTTATAATCTAAGTTATCAATTTCATAATTTCATATTTTAACGTAAAATTAAATTTGAAAATAGTTATAACTAAAAATTTTGATTTATTTAATAGATATATTAATGAAAAAAGATATGTATATGATTGTTTTCTTATATAGATAAATGTTTATTTTTTAATTTCGTTTGTTTGAGATTCTTTTCTTATTTTATATATCTTATTTATTCATACCATGTTTTATCTTCATATATTATGTTTTGTAATTCTTAAAGAGAATTGGAAAGTATCTCTTTCTAATACAATCGTACAACTATTTTTCTTTCGTACATTGTATACGTTTGACTTTTCTATCGCGCATACGGTATATACATATAACCGCTATTTAAGAACTGTATTACGATTTAACAAAAAAAAAAAATATATATATATTACTGCAATGTATTCCTAATCTTGTATCCAAAGATATAGAAATCATAACTTTGTAATAGACAATACCGTATCTATGTAACATGTTATTAATTATAAGACACTTAAGCAAAACCATAGATAAAAATAATAAACCATAGCTAAAATCCACCAGCTAATGTCATTAGCAGTGACATAAATGTGAAATACAAATGATTGTGGTTTACAAATTAATGTGCCGTGATCCTTATATACTAATTGTGGGATTGATTTCCAAAGTGAATTTAGAATCCCTGTGTATGAGAAATTTATAAAGTTCACTACATTCAACGGTTATAAACATGCGTACCTTCTAAGAGTTTAAGTTTCTTACAAAGAGCCGGATTAACGTGAGAGATATTTGAAGTTTTACAAATTTCGAGATCGATTTTACGATCAATTGCGAAATTGATATTACTAATTGACTCTACTCTATTTGTATTCCCTAATGATACATCTCCACTTCCGTAAAAGCACAAATTTTATAAAAAACAAAAAAAATTGAAGTTAACGATACAATCACCAGATGTAAGCGAATGTATTTTGACCGGATTTTTTTTACGTTTCTCTACGTTGATACACACACAGACGAAATATTATAAGCACAACATTGTCGAATATTCTTCGAACAAGGGTATAAGAAAGACAAGAAGATCAAAGACAGAAAATATTGATACTCTAACGTCTAATGTTGAATTATGTACACGCATCAGAGTCAACGTTTTACCATGCGTAAAGAATCCGTGTTACTATGCACATCAATTCGAATTATTCATCGTCAATTATTTACATTTTGCTTTCTATTTGGACGAAAAGTCTGTCGAACTTTCCACGACCGGCTGTTACCGAGAAATCAGACGAAGATACGTGTGATTTGATAATATATATTTTCGTAAAAGTAGCTGAGAGAAGAAACGTAGATTATACTTCTTTGGAAATAGTTCACCAAGCTAATATTTGTTATTTTTGAAAAAAATAAAAAAGAAGTATACCTAAAGGAATTATAAACGTTTAAACAAAGTAAATAATTAAGTTGCGCGAAAATTGTAGGGATATATATCAGTTATTATATAACAGTATGCGTAACTTAAACCACAAATCGCAATGGCATTATCATTGTAAGTTTATAATTATGATTTCTAGTCATACAGATAAGTATGCAAAACGGATTTGTTTTCACCTGACAAAATTTTACTTCATTATACACGAAGCGAAGTATTATTTACAATTATTGTATAAATAGAATACTTTTACTGAGTACCACATAGATTTTTGAATACATTTTATTATATAGTTTATTATATACCAGAAGAATAAAAACGCAATGCTTTTGAAAGATGTTCTACATTGTACTGTTGTTATACTGTTATTATATAATGTAAATTGTTTGCAAGTATAATACATTGTGGTTTTCGTATCATGTTATCGTGTGCAAAAGTTCATAGTGATTTATTATGCAGGTAATTCTGACAAAATAGCGCGTAAGTTTTTTTCTTTTTTTAAAGATGCGCGTTCTCGTTTTCTTTTAATGTACTTTATAAATGGGCATAGAATGGTATAACAACCGTACAATTCTTCCGTAAAAAATGGTAATCTGCGATAAGCGATTATTTCATTAATGACGTTGTGTATTAGCAAATTATATTTTCACAATATTTTTTTAAATAGCGTACGGAGGAAATTTCCTTAACGATGCGACGTCACTTCATTCATACGATTGCTATCCACTAAGATGGACTTGAATAGTGTAATAAAATAACTGTGGATTATACAGTTAGAGACTTGAAATTGTATATAAGTAGAATGGAAAAAAGCATCTAAAGATATTTATTGCTTAAAATTGTACGATAAGAATAGATCTTAGAGAGAGAGAGAGAGAGAGAGAGAGAGAGTAATATATAAATATAAATAAATAAATATATATATAAAACATTGTAATACCCGATATACGACGGATGTGTGAACCTGCACGAGTGTGTTTATGCGCGTATGCGAATACATTTGCCACCCTTGCGCATAGGAATTATACATGTACACATATAATATATTATTATATATATAATATATATATAATATATATTATATATATATACCAATCACATATTATACAAATATAAATATATAAATATATGTAGTTAAAGAGAGAGCGACTGTTAGTTGATATTCGCATAACATTGTATAGTAGAAGAAAAAATTTTGATTGGTATAATTATATTGAATGGGCCAAAGTTGTAAGAAATCATCTTTATTTAACTAATCAGGGAAATATAATAATTTATCAAATGTCGTAACGTAAAACTTTGTTGCGGATACTTCGTGCTAAATTGCAAAACTACTTTCTACTTTTACTTCTTGCAGAAGCTGTCACGTCTTTCGTTGATTCGAAAGAAAATTTGTACGTCTTAATCCCTTCGTTTTTAATGTAATGATCAGTGTATGAGAATAACAGAATAGCACATAAAGCTGAATGTATATTAACATTAAGAAAGTCAATTCAATGTCTTGCCTTTTGATGGATTTTCCCCGAGAATGTAATCTACTTACTGAAGTTTCGGATAAAATACGAAAATTCTACAGGATCGGTAACTTCTTTCGTTCATCTAGAAAATAGTGATCGAGATTGTACTGGCTCAAGTGCCGTAACAGCAAAGAGAGAACAAACAAATTCTAAAGACAGTAAATTATTGTATTTCATTAAGCCAAATAAGACCATAACGTATTATATAATTTACAAGATAAGTATATTCTAAATGTACGAAATAAAGTTGTGTGTATTCAAAAAAATTTCGATTCTTCATTTATTCTTTTTTATTCATTTTTCTACTCTTCACGTTCTTCACATTCTTCATTTTATTAACATATAATAACTAAATAATTTATAAAAATTATTTATTACTAACATAATAACTTGTAAAATGAGCATAATAATTAACTTATCTTCAAATCTCGCTTCGATCAAACAGTAATATATCGATATATTTTAGATATCAATTGATACTAATATTGTTATTAATATTACGACATTATGAATTAATATTACAACATTATTTATGGCGTTGTTTATTTGATAATTACGGGCTAATCTTCTTAAAATATTACTTTGTATCAATATTATTTTGCATCTGCGTGCTAAAAGGAACAAATATATTTGATTAATCGTCAATCCAAATTAAGTTCATTATTTTTATTCTTCATCATTTCATTAAGATAATAATTGTGATGATTAAACAATTATCCAATAAAAGCTCGTGTAGGATTTTGTAGTCGAGATGCAGTTTTGACGGATAACGTTAAAATAATTTTTAACGAGATTATAAATTTACTTTAATTATAACATTTTAACATTATTATAATGAGTTATCGATGCACGATTGTCCAAATTTATGACCGAAGATGATCAATAACAATCCGGTAAATATAATGGCCATTTACATACACGGTGATCTATAGTGACATGTACAAAAAAACTCTCACTGTTCGCACCAAGACTTTCTTCCCACATTTCCTCCCTTTCTCTATCTCCATTTTTCTTCGCGTAATTAATTTGTATGGGGGAAAGAAAAAAAGAAAGAGGGGGAAAAGAAAAGCGAGAGCAGATGCGACATATTTTGCGACTTCTTTCTTTTCGTCGCGGTGTCTGAGGCGCGACGATTAGATAAGGCTCCGGTTCATAGTACGTCCGAGATGCAGACCTCATAAGAGACCGGGATGCTCGAGGCCCAGCCTCAGTTAAAGCTGCGTGTGCAAACCGACAATTAAGGACGGGACGAGTCGCCCTGAGTAACTTCTCCGCGATTGTTGTCAGCAACAGCATAGCGCCTTAATTTTCGTGTATGTTGTGTCATCTTGTCGCTTTCATCGCGCCTACATCCGTTTCTGACGACAGAGAAAGAGAGATAATTTTGTCTATCCGTGATCAGAGTACGATTGACTCTCGGGGAGAACTATCTCATCTTCCTCTTCCTTCGCTGAAATAACCGCGCGAGGCGGTTATTTTCCAAGACCTCTCGGTCTTGGGAAATATGAGTCCTGGATACAAGGATTTCTACCGATCGGCTGAACCCTTCGATTCGTCGTAACCCTCTCGGACGGGGTTTCCAAAAGCGAAACACCGAACGGGAAAAGATGCCCGCCTGCTCGAGCGAGAGCTCGTCCAGATTATGGTCCTCCAGCCCGCCGATGTCGCGAAGTAGCAGCGCGTCGCCGTCGCTACCCGGCACACCGTTATCCACATCGCCACCCCGGACGTCGCCCGTGTCCATGTTGAAGCGCACGGCGTCGAACGTGATCGTGTCGCCGTCCAACGCGCCGACCAGCCTCTCCAGGGCATCGTCGTTCTCGGGTATGTCGACGGTGATACTCTCCCAGAGACGACAGCAGCAACGGCAGCAGCAACAGTCGCTAGCGGCAGATAGTCGGAATGTCGAACGGAGCGGTTCCATACTGTCGAGGGTCATGTTTTGGTACCTCGGACTTCTATTGGGTCTACTTCGGGGTGTTTTCAACGTCGTCGGCTACGCGATCTGGGCGCCCGCTCTCTGGGCATCCGCCTGGGTCTGCTTGTTCTGGGTGGTTCTACAGCTGCCGCTGACCGCCCTCAAGTGGTTCATCACCTTGCTGCACACCCCGGCGTATGAGAGATCGCGCAACAAACGATGCGTGCTGATCAGTGGTGGTAGCACGGTACAGGCGGTGCATCTGGCGCGTAACTTCTACAAGGCCGGCGCCCGGGTGGTGGTGTGCGATCTCGAGGGCCTGTTCGGCCTGGCCAGATTCTCCACCGCCTGCTCCAAGTACTACACGATACCACGGCCCGGGTCCAGGAACGTTGTTGAGTACATAAAGGCGTTGAAAGATATCGTCCAGCGTGAACGGGTGGCTTATTATATACCGGTGAGCGCCGCTAGCACCGCATATTACGACGCCCTGGCGAAGCCGCACTTGGAGATCATGGGCTGCGAGTGCTTCGTGCCCGATGCCAGCCAGGTAACCGCGCTGGACGACCCGTTGGAGCTGCTACGTCGCTGTCGCATGCTCGGTCTTCCGACCCCGCAACACTTTCTGCTCCGATCGATGCAAGATCTGTCCGCGCTCTACGAGCGAAATGCATTCCGCACCGGCAGGTACATGATGCTGGCCGCCGGTCCCGCGGGAATGCGCGATCGCGCCAAGATTCTGTTACCACCTACTGTCAGGGAGTTCCGGAATCAGCAGCACGAGATCAGCGAGAGGCGACCGTGGGTGGTGATCCGCGACTCCAGCGGAGATCACTTCATCACCTGCACCACGCTCAAAGAATCACGGATCGTGGCGAACGTGACCTGCCGGGTGGACGAGGACCGAGGCCTAATCCTCGAGGAACGTCCGGAGATCACGCGGTGGCTCGAGCAGTTTTTCGCACGTTCCTTCGGCGGCAGGATCAACGGTCACATGAGCTTCCGGCTGGCGGTGTCGGAGGAGACGGGTGAGCTGGTGTCCATCGGCTGTCGCGTGGGCGTGAGCCTGCCCTACATCTGCCACACGGGGATACATCCGCGTTTGGTGTGGAAACCCTGCCGACATTTCTCCAGGCAGAACTCGGCGTTGGTGGGCACGTCGAGCCGGCAGTTGCTGCCCGATGCCGTGGCGAGTGCTCTCAAACAAACAACCAGCGAGATCGCACCCCATCTTCTAGGCACGGTGCTGGACAAGAGGGAGTCCCTCTTCGTGTATTGGGATCCATTGCCCTATTGCGCCTACTATCATCTCCAATTGCCGTTCCGGCGTGTCGCGGAGGTTATCAGGACGCAGCATAATCCACCCCTAGCGGTGGTGCAATAGGACTCTCCCCTAAAACGGGAGCTTCTCTTGTATTAAGATCCCTTCTATTTCGCCTACCTATTCGTAGCTGCTCTTTAGAAACGTTTCGCAAACGATCGTCAAGAGAGCTTACAATTGATCCTTATGCAATCAGGACTGATGCAATCAAGGGTTGAAGTGCAGCTATTATCTGGACCTCAACGTCGATCGCGTCTCCGAGAAGAAAATGTGCCAAAGAGGAGATCCGCGGACGAATCCCGGACGAGACCGTACTTATTTCTTTTTCGTGAGTAATTGTGTAGAGTGTGATATTATTTATTGGAGAACAATGTATCTGCGCGCAATGTCCGTGTTTCACACGCCGCTAATCGGCAAAGTCTCATCGGCAAAGAACTACGCATTTTTTTGTCACATTATTTTGCATCGCATTGTAACATATAAGTAAATATGAGACTCTAATATGATTCCACGTATAGAGTGCGTGTGTGAAAGAGAGAGAGAGAGAGAGAGAGAGAGAGAGAGAGAGAGAGAGAGAGAAAGAGCGTATGCGTGTATATAATTTTATTTCTACTTGTTAATTAACGACTATAATATAAACATATAGTGATAATATACTTCGTTGAAGAGAGGAGGGAAGAAATACGGTAGTTTTGTGTCAATTCAAGAACTAGGAAGTAAAAACCTCGCAAGGGCGCGTTCTCCGACTCGTGCTCGAGAGTCACTGGGGAACCGGTGATCGCGTTCGTTCGGGGGGTCGCGGATTTGAACGAAAGTGAGCGAGTTAAAAATACGTACAAAGGTCAAGTTCGGCTCAAGTAATCGGCTTGAAAAAGAAAAAAAGAGGAGAAAAAAAGTGACGCAGCGCGCGGCGGCTCGTGCCGTGTGTGTTGCCACTCGAGCTTTTGCCTCGATTGGGGGAAGAAGCGCGATTGGACACACAGATGAAAAAAACATATGCTCTCTGCGGGTTGCACGCTATCAATACTGATTATACTAAACGAGATACTTATGTACCGCGTGCGTGATTAATATATTCCTATCTCTCTGGTAGACTGGCGCAGCAATCGCCCGTACAATAACGGATGAAGGGGGAAAAGAGGATCCGATTCTTCGAGAAACCGGTTAACTCTAATCTCATCTCTTTCGTATATATTTTACCGTAATCGCGCGGCTGCAATCATGAGAAGAATTATCCCGTCTTCGACTCAATTTGCTCAAATCACTACTGATCGAGTCGAAGATGCTAGGAGGTCACACCGATGTGTGAACATATTTTATATTTAAAACGACGCTTATCATCAAGTGCAAGTGTGAGAACTAGCGATATTCCGGAGAGGATAATCTTCGATCTTTTCATCTATCATCATTACCGAATTAAAATTGATCGCGATTTTTTCGTAAATACGTAATAGCAAAGGCAATCGCTGACAGGACTATTTATAAACTATTGTGCACTCAGCTCAATAGGTGCCGGCGATATAAACGTTGCTTTTAACATTCACAACACTCGCCGAGCGAGAAACAGAGAGAGTGTGCTCGTTCACCAATACGATTGTTTGATACATGTTTTGTAAATGCCAGCGCATAATCGATCGAAGTGGCTTAACCCTTCCGATATCGGTTCTTTCTTTTACATTACAAAAGCAAGAGGTATTTATATCGATAAGTTCGCGTTTATTTATATCGATAAAACGCGTTCCGATTTTTTTACGTTATGTTAAATCAGATTTAACGATCCTCATAATTGAAACATTATATTTCAGTACTTCACAATAAAACGAATGATTATTTATTACTTTTTCTATTCACGGCAAAACTTTTCGAATGTTCCTTAGGAGCAAACACATCGAGATACATCCTAATGACATCGAAAGAATTAACAAGTAATAAGTTTGTCTAGATTATTGAATGTATTTCATCGCGTAATTTTCGATCATTTTGAAAGATCAACTTTGAAGAGAGTGCTTCGAAATACTTCAAGAAAATGTAATCTATATTATTTCTCTAATGATAATATAATCCATATTGTCAGCCTTTCGTTAATAAATGTTCCAAAAAACATTGAACCATGTATGTACATATTTTTGTTATCCCTCAGTAAGGAACTCAATAAGAAGACACTCATGCCAATTAATATATATGTGTGTGTGTGTATATTTTTTAAACATATTTTTGAGCATAAGATCTATTGCATTGCAATAAATTGGTAAATTAATATTGCAAACATCAGATACCTTTTATCCCTCACTATCTATTAAATTTATTACATTAACCAATGAAGAGAGAGATCAATGAACTAATTGGCATAAAGAAAATTACAAGAAGAAATAAAATAAAAATTCGTTTAACCAGCATTTACTATTTCTTATATTATCATATATTTTTCGAGCCATAAGATCTATCGCCTTGGTATACTGCAAATAGATATTAATAAACTTATAATACGGAGTATTTTTCAACGAAAAAGTAATTTTATAAAAATCCAGAGAGATTTTTGTCAAGCGTGCTATTATATTAAAGGAGCAATGACCAATGCACGTCATCGCGATCGTATCGTCGATCAGATCGATCGTTCGCTGAAAATCGCATTAATTGTTTGTTCGTGCTAACGAGCGCGACGTAATGCATCTTGCATATATCGAGGGCGTTTCGCTAACGAGTTACTGGCTGACTGGTGGAGCTTATAATCTCCTTACGACGCGATTGTACGCGTAAAGCTGTAAATAATGCCTCGCTATAGATGGAATGACCCGGGGGCAACACTGGCTGACGGACTTTGACAGCTCGGGGTCGCCGGTTCGTGAAGAGAGCGAGAGAGAGGGAGGAAAAGAGAGAGAGAGAGAAGTCAGTTCGCCAGGGTATTATCTGCCTTTCTTCTCCTTTTTTCACCTCTCTTTCCCTTTCTTCTTCGAAACTTACTATACTCATTGTCAGTCGCTTCTTTCTCCGAATAGACAGATATTCGCGTCAACGTCGCTGAACAATCAACTTTGCCACTAAATTAACTCTTAGTTAGTCGCCTTCAGTCTCGACTAATGTAACTGATCACGCGGGGTTACGACACCATTACATTTTTCATTACGTACACCACAGTTCTTGCTAAACAAGTTGGAAATTATAATAACCTTATCTAGTTTAATTTCAAGTGAATTTTTAATTAATATAGAATACATGAACATTAACACCTTGTTACGGCTCGATGCTCCTTTGTTGTAATTGATTTTTAATCTTGTGAGCTTTTATTTTTATATTCAAGTGAATAATTTTGCACTGTAAAATTTGTCAACAAAAGAAGCACGTGTTTACAACTTCGTTTTCCGCAGCTTATTCCTCGCATCTCAGCATTCAATACTATTGCACTTGGTCAGGAACCCATATATATCCGATTAATATCTGATTTCAAGAATCTAATACTAAAGCCCCTTGCACAATAGGCCATAGCGATAGCGATAGCGACAGCGACAAAGTTGCTGACAAAGCTACAAGACTACGATCGACTGATAAGAATCATCGGGAATATCGATTTTCCAGCAATGATAATAAAAAATGGAAACAAACGAGTGGAAATGTTCACGTGTTAGCGGAAAAATTCGGTCTGATAAGACGCGATATTCAAAAGCTGTCTGGCGATAGTTTTATCGCTGATAATTCCTCCACAGTTTAGTGCCTCGGCGTAAAAAATCATGTTAAAAGAGATGAAAACGCGCCGAGTGCGCGACTGAGATATGTAAAGGCACTAAACTGATATTAATATTTCGCAAAATACACAGAATTATCTTCGAAAACGAAAATTATCGGTAAGAGACTATATCTTCTAAAGTAGTATGAGTGTCTTGAAGGTGTCGCGAAGCTAATTTCAACTTTTATCCCTACTTAGGTGATATATTTCTGCAAGATAAATGAATAAGCATCATATCTTACAACTCCAATATGTTTAGGTAAGTATAATGTATAAGTTAAGGAAAAATCATCTCAGAAAGTGAATATTT